AGGGGTACCTATGGGCGGGTTTCTTTCTGGCCTACAGGTGCAGCTTGTTCTGTCCACTAATGGAATCTCTTTTGGAGAGCATCTCAAGGATGATCCTCGTGAGAAGACCAGGGAAGCTATGGTTTAAGTTTTTTGTTTTATGCCCATGAACCTGTGGCTAGTTGTGTTATGTTGGCGCTTCGTGTCTCTGTTATCCATTGAGATGGCCCGGCATGAGACCTGGGACCAACTGGAATCCGAACAAACCCAAACCAGCCCGGGTATCTTACGCTTCTTCATCTGCATCGTCACGGATTTATAAATTGGTATTGGTGCTCATATGCCCATGAACACATTGGATGGGTTGAAGGCGCTTGTTTCTCGAGGGCGCCACTGGAGCGCTTCCACGACAATAGCCCCCATTTCATCAACTGCATACATGTATTTGACAATGATAAGCAGTAGATCCGGCAAAGACTTATCGGCAAGCTTTTCAACTTCAAAATCCACTTGTAAGTAAGTAGGTCTGTAGTTGCCTTTCTTACGGGTTTATCCCCCGGCAGCCGCAAAAGGGGTCATATGGCCTCGAACATCCATCACTGCACATGTATGCACAACTGTGGCTCCTCAACAAACTATGCCAATGGCCGGCCTCGAAAGGGTCACGACGCAGCCAATCGCAGAGGGTTGCGGAGAGGTGCGGAGAGACTCGGGTCACGGCCCGGGTGCCTTGCAGCGGCTGGCGGTCATTGTACAAACGGCCCACGGGACACTACATATTCTCTCAATCTTCCTGCCCGCTCCCGCAATGTGCCGCCGTGGAAAAGATCAGACGAAGATACTAAGGCCTGAGTCGGCGACCCAGTGCAGAAATTACCTATTCGGGACAAAACAGTATTGTATTCACGGTAATACCAGTAGAATGGCTGTGTGTATAACAGCCCGGCTTTTGAGGTTTTAGGGACTTATTGCTAGGACTCCATGTTCATCACTTGACTGACTCAATATAGTTCGACTCACTTCAGTCTGCATGTGTACCTACTTAACCCACACTAGCATTCTTCTAGGGCATCGAGTCGATCACAGAGCAAGGTTCCTCCTACGCGTACAAAGACGCATTCTAAACGCAAGACTAGTAGTAATCCTCTATCATTTTAACCTCTTTGGATCCTCAGTTGTAACTCTAGCGGCAAGCACTTATAACCAAGCCCCGTTCAGAACCCCAAATAAAAGCCTTACACCGTCATCCTCTTCTCACACAGCTGCGGCTCCCCAAACGCCTGCCTAAGCTCCGGAATCTCCAGCAGTCCCTTCATATACCCCTCCACGTTGGGGGCTTCCTTGCGCATCTCAGCATCCATCATGAACCTCCCCGCCAGCTGCAGCGGCCCAAGGACCATGATATCTGCGAGCGTCAGCTGATCACCCACAAGGAACTTCTTGCCCTTCACAGCCACATCCAGCCTTTTCAGCGCGCGGGCAAAGTTGTCCATGGACCTGTTGTACCACGCCTCCTCAAACGGTTGGACCTTGAAGAGGACCATGACGAGGGGCGGGCTGGTGTAGGCGCCCATTTCCTGCTCAGCGAAGCAGCACCACTGCTCGATGATGGCGCGCGTCTGGGGGTCCTCGCCCAGAAGCTGGCCGGCCTTGGGCCCAATCTCGGCAAGATAGCGCGCGATGGCCTGCGCCTCGGCGAAGCAGAACTTGCCGTCGGCCGACTCGAACGCAGGAACCTTGCCGAAGGGGAACTTGGCCAGGAACTCGGGGGTCTTGTTGTCCTTGCCGAACTGGAAGTCGGAGGGCACCTCGAGCTCAAGGCCATTGAGTGCTGCGATGGCTTGCGCCTAGGTGTGTGAGGGCACATGGAGTGGTTAGCAACTGGACTGGACATATCGGCTTACATGATACAGTAGACAGAGGGTGGTAACATCTGTTTCGAAAAATGGGTTCACTCACTCGTTGAACGCGGAAGTTGTTAGGGTAAGAGTAAATCTTGCCAACGGGCGCCATTTTTGAGACTTGTGAGGTATGGGAAGACACTGAGTGACTGTCGTATGGAGAGACTCCAAGATGTTGCGATCTGAGTTGTGGATTGCGTGCTTTGAACTTGCTCTGAGGAGACTCTTGGATGCTATTGATGTGTTATTAGTTATCTTTTATAACCTCACCATCCCACCAGCCATGCTGCCCCTCATCGGCCACATCGGCGTCCAAGATTCCGATCAAGGCAGCTTTCGGCCCACGCACTGCTACTCTGTCCGTTATCTTCTTCTAGTGCGTTGCATGGCCGTGTCAGACTCGGGGAAACGGTTCATCCTAGTTGTCTTCTCGAACGTTCCACTGCGGTACGAAGGCAGTGGACGGCTGGTCGGTCGGGTGCGTTCTTACAAATCAATACCCACTTGGACAGGTTGTTCACGTCGCCAACCGAGCAAAAAGTCTCCTCGGCAGGGGGGTTGTCCCGTTCCAGGAGAGTTTACAAATTGACTTAAATGGACGAGCTGGGAATCGAACCCAGGACCTTTCGCAAACATCAGAGTATGCTACAAAAAAGTCTCCTCGGAAAGGGAGTTGTCCCACTCCAATAGAGCTTATGAATATTGGACGAGCTGGGAATCGAACCCAGGACCTTTCGCATACACGGAGTATGCTAAGCGAACGCTCTACCAACTGAGCCACACGCCCTAGCCTGAACTTGGGGGCGGTGTGAGGATATTCGACAGCTGAGGGACGTCGCCAGGACGAGCAAGATTGATGTTGACGTGTCATGGACAGGAAGTGGATGGTGAGCCTTCCGACATGTCTCACACCGCCCGCCCTGACATGGCGAGAGAACAGAAAGAGGGGGATAAACATGCTGGTATAAACAGAACCCCCGTGCCAAGCCCCTGTATATATACATCCCATACCGCCCATGCCTTTGGTACCCTACCTGGCATCCTCCCTGTGAGTATGCACACACACCGGACACCCGCCAGCAATCCGATTCTTCAGCAACCTAGCATGCGTAACCTTAGCCCCAATAAGATGCGACGCCGTCAGCCTCTGCTCAGCAACAATGCCATTCAGCAGAACCTCATCCACCTCCTCTCCCGGGTGGAGCTTCTCCAGCAGGTGAGTCAGGTGGAACACATGGCCACACGCAAAGCCGACGAGCGTTTGCACCTCCCACTCGCCAAACGGCTCGTAGCACAGCGCACAATGCCCAGGCGTCCAGCCCCTTTTCCCGTCTGAGCCCTGAACAACATCCCCATTAACATCGCCACCACCCCCGACACCACCTCCCCGCCCCTTTTCCCTGTTCGTTATGGTATTATCCACCGCTAATGGAGCCTTACCACCTTCAACCACATGCCCGGCCTCCGGTGCACCGGCAGCAGCGCCACCATCAGCAGCAGCAGCAGCAACAATCTCAAACTTGACCCCCCTTCTCTGGCCCGCCCTAAGCAGGGACTGCGCATGAGCGACCTCGCTCCTCAGGACCCTCGCGACACCCTCACTAATGCTGTGCTGAATCTCGTGCTCCTTCATGATATGTTTGAGGCCCTCCCGAAGGCCCTCAATCTCAAGACCCTCAGGGATGCGCCGGACGAGGGTGATGGGGTTGATGGCGGTGCCCACCTCCTCCAGCAGCGCCCGGATGAAGCGGGGCTTGTCCATGCTGTAGGTGAGCAGATCCTCCCAGAGGTCCGGGTCGTCCTGTTCCTTGGCGAAGGCTATGGCGCGCGAGACGTCGCCGAGCTGGTCGATGATCAGAGACAGGGCGCGTTTAGTCTGCCCGGTTTTGGAGTACAGGTAGACGAGTTCGGGTATGTAATTCAGGGATTCGCATTCTTGAACTGCCTGTTGATCGGGTTAATATGCGTTTACACTTCGGCTGGGGAATGAGGGTGAGCCGGGGAAAGGGTAAGCAGGGGGAGAGGCGTACTTTTTCAAATGCGTAAGCGGTGGAGGTCTTGAGAAAGCTCATCAGTAAGGGCCGATCGTGGACGGCAAAGAGGTGCACGGCGAGGTCGGCGAACCGGTCAACGAGGGATTGGCTGTCCGTTACGAGCCGAGCGCGCGACTCTCCAGAGTGTTCGTGCATGCCTTCGCCCCTCCACAGCCCGCGCAAATAAAAGAATGTGTAGAGTTCCAGTTTTCTCTGCTGTAGCTGTATTATGACCACGTCCGGCTTCACCAGGCCATGTTGCGCCTCGTCTACCAGCAGCGTAATAGCCTCTGATGTAGCCTCCTCCAGCTCGGCTCGAGACATCTTGCCCATGCGGTCTTGAGACACACGGAGGCCGATAAAGCTAGGGATATCATCGGCCACTGCATCAGCAAGATGGCCCTCCTTGATCAGCCGCATTGCGGAATCCGCATCTTGCAGTCTGATGTGGCATCTAAGTGCCTCGCGATGCCTGCCATTTGCCTCGTGAAGCTTGGCCAAGCTCTCCATGACAATCCGCCAGTCTCGACCAACCTCGCCATCCTCGACACTGTCTTCCCGCACATCCCGGAACTTTAGCTGGTCTTCTAAAGCGGTCGTGACTGCAGACGCGTCGAAGAGGTCCGGGGACCATCGTTCTAGCAGCTCTCGGAACCGTGGCTTGTTAGTCTGCAGGTAGTGCCCGAGCACAACCTCGTACACAGTGCCGGGCATGGGCGGCCGCGTACGCTCCGTTGGTATGTAATTCACAATTTCATCGAATTTGCTCGCGCCGGCGAACGTCCACACCCACTTCTCCCATCTGTCGGGCGTTCCTAGAACCTTGCCACACACCTGTCCCGCGCGCGCCCAGTCACCAGACTCGATGAGGTCTTGGATCCACAGCTCCCCAATCCGTCTCTTTTCCTTTTCGGCAGAAGAGTAAAGGGTTCGTATGCCGTCGACTACCGATGCGGTTTCATCGTAAAAGTCATCTGTACTCTGCGTGTGCTGCGGCGACGGGGGAACGACGTCGGAGGTTGCTGACATGATCTCTGGATGTTGGTCGACCAACTCCCAGGATTGCTGGTACTGCCGGCGTTCGAGGAGCCATGTCAAATGATCACCCAAGTCCCTCTTTGTCGCAAGGATACAGTCATACGGGCTATGGATGAAGATCTTGATCCCAGGTTTGACCAAATTTGGGTGTACAGGGTTGCGCCCGGAACGGGGCCCGCCTGCCATAGCAGGTACCTTGGATCCGGAAGCGCCGTCACTGTCCTTGCTCTTGACGCTTGCCGCAGAGCTAAACAATAGAGATTTGGGATTGAGGGCGGCATTCAGCATATCGGTACCGAGTTCAGCCAAGGCTCCTAGAGCACCCCGGGATGCTGTAGCAGCAGCCATGTTGCGGGCGGGCAGGACCCCGAGGTGATAGTCGTTGGAAGATAGCCTCTCAAATCGGCTTACAGTGAGACTATCCTTGTCGATCTCAGCCTGCGATGTAAGATCAATGAGCCGCAACTCGGGAGGCGAGCTGTTCTGCTTGCGCCGAATACCCCCGGAAGGCCTACTCTCAGTAGAATCTGTCGATAGGGTGCGTCCATGGGCTTTCGGGGGGTGGTTGCCTTGATCCCCCTCCTCGTCCTCGGGTAAGCAGTAAGCAAGAACCAGTAATAAGTTCTGGGTATATAACGAAATGCCAGAAATGATGCAATCCACGCGAAGTCTAGGCAAGGGTCAACATGAATCCAACTAGCAGAAGTGAGAGAAACCCACATCTTTACAATCTCGGCCCGCCCAGCGGACCTTTCAACCCCGGTTTTCCCCCCTTCGATGCCGCCGGGATGGACGTGGATGATCCAGATAGTGCCTCCCCAGCCCACGAGTAATCGTTCGATCTTTTTGGTATTTTTAAGCTGCTGTTGCTTCAAACTCTCCGCTGCAGGCGAGAGCACCAACCCTGCGTGTTCGGCGCCGCTGTCGTCGGGCTCAACTGACTGCTCGTCAATCCACTCGGCCCGCCCTTTCCACACGCTGGCCATGGTGTCCCACTCGTCCGTCTGGGGCCTGTCGATATGGCCGATGCGCTTCCAAGCATCGTCGGCGTCGGCACTGTCAAGGTGCAGCTTGGTTCGCATAATCTTAATGCCGTGCTCGTTCAGCCAGACAACGTATCTTCCCGACAGAGACCACTTGATGGTATTGATAGTGCCTTCGCCCGAGTGCAGGACCGTGTCTTTGCCGGTGCTGGCGCCGACCATGCCTCCGAGCCAGCCTGCAGCCTGGGCAGTTGCACCGGTTGTCATGGCCGTGCTCCGGCCCGTTGGCGCGCCAACAGTCAGGATGAGCTGCCCCGAAAGTCCTCCCGACAAGTACATCCTGTCGTTCTTGTACTCGGGTGAGAGAGCGACAGCTTGCACTGGGCGGGCAAAGTTTCGCAGCTGCACATCCTTGACATCGACCAGGGACTGTACGCAGATGTTCCCATCCAACGAAGACGTTGCAATGTAGATATTGTTTGATGGGGTGTTGGGCACCGCATGCTGATCTCGTGGCCTTCTCGGGCCAGCGGCCGGGGGAGCATGGCCCTCTGCAGTCGCTGTGGCTGGTCGAAAGGGGCTGCCGGAAGCTGACTTTGCAGCTGCCTCGGGCTTGGTAGCAGGAAGGGGAGGCGGAAATGGAGATATTGAAACGGAGGTGACGGAAGCTGAATGGGCGTGATAGTTGCGCAGTGACTGGAAGGCCGGAAGCTGAACGACGTGCTATATGAGAAGAGGTCAGCGACGATCTAAGAAAAACCTTGATGAGAGTGCGACGCACAATATTGCCATTGTGCGTGCCGATGATCTGAGAGGCAAGTCAGCAACAAATAATCCTTCTGCCAGGTTTCGTATCCGGGATCTACAACCATCTTGTCCCCAGCCACGAAAAAAGAGCTCGTCGCGTCACCATTCCGATAGACAGGACCGAGATGCTGGGTGAGCCGTGCATACTTGAGCTTTGGCTCCTCCTCCTCGTCGTCTTCATCTTCTTCTTCCGCCCCGTCTTCACTCTCATTGTCGCCAGCATCATCTTCCTCGCTGCCGGAATGGTCTACCGAGTGCTCCGACACATCAGCTTTGTCCGGTGCGCCGTCGTCCGGAGATGGGTGAACACGATCCGGCAGATTTGTGTCTTGCGCGCCGTTACCGTGACCGGATGCCGGGTCACTGCCTGGCTTGGGATCCGCCGTCGCATCGTGTGTCGCTTCATTGTTGCCGGGTTGCGGCAAGCTGTCGGTCATGTTGAGTCGGGGATCACGGGAAACTTCATGGCGTTACCAGATGAGGACGCGCAGGTCGGAGCTTCAAGAGGTGGTATGTGTTGAGATTGAACGCCGAGTTGTTCGGGAGCTTCTTAGGCACGGCTTACTGCTACGTCAGAGCTCGGTTGACCTGATGGCGCATCGAGCAGGGCAAGGTGGAAGCTCTGGCCAATCAAAAGCATATTCCAGGGTGGAATGGCCCCCGCTGAATACTGAACAAGTGTCTAACCGAAAGAGGCTCCCGTCACAATAACTTCACATTGCTTCAAGTTCATGCGTTCCACACGTCTTTTCCGCTGCCAAAAGCTCATCCCGAAAGATGGCAATTTCCGCAATCTAGTTTGAAGCGCCGTTTGCTATTCCGTTGTATTCAAATTCAGCAAGGTACATATATGACTAGTGAGCGTCTTGAAGGGAATTTACGGAAATATCTCTCGAGCCTAGAAGCGGCCCACAAATCATCTCAACACTGATCACAGTCATCACACCATCTTCCTCTGGGCTTCGACCCTCATTTCTCACTTCCCCTTTGCCCCGCTAACCGACAAAAGCGCTTATACTAGCGGCCAGTAGACACCAGTCACCTACTGCTCAAGCAGTCTTGATGCCACAAGCCTGGGCACAGCTGTCGACCAAGACGACGAACTGGGACGGGATGATGCCGCGCAGCTGGTCGATCTGAGAGGGGCCCAAGAAGGTCGGGTTGCCGAGCGACGTGGTGAGCACGTTGTCGGGCATGGACGAGAAGAAGGTTTGGGCGATCTGGAAGCGGCCTTCATCGCTACTATCAAAGGCCGCCGAAAACACAGCCTCCTCGCACGTTGGGTTGAACTGCCAGTGGATGTGGCCCTGCGGGAACAGCATGCCGGTGAAGTTGGTCAGCGTCATGGACACCTGCGGGATGTCGCCGACAAAGGCGCCGTCCTCCTCGAGCAAGAAGGCGCCGATCAGCGTGCCGTTGACGACCGTCAAGAACTCGTTGCCCCGCGGGTGCAGGTGCGGCACGTTGAGCCCGCAGGGACCAATGAAGCCGATGGCCGCCGCGACGTTGGTGCCGATCAGCCCGGGGATCGAGTCGACGCTGCCCACGATGATGCTGCCATCCTGGGGCCGCGGTCCATTGTTGGGGACGAACTGGAACGAGACGTTGTTGGCGCTGCCGCCGTTGTTGGGCGGGAACAGCACCTGCTCCTTGTCCTTGTAGGAGGGCGCTAGGAGGAGCTCCGTTTGCAGAGCCTTGATTTCGGCCGGCGACAGCGGCTTGAAAGTGGGAGCCGAGGCGGCCGAGGTGGACGAGGCGGCATCGGCTCTTGGGACGACAGCCACGGGAGAAGCCATGGAGGTGGCAGCAAGGAAGGCCACGAAGGCACTGGAGAGGAGGGAGTTCATGTTTTCAAGGTTTGGGTTGCAAAATGTGCAGACTTTGACTCTCTTGATGTGTAGACTTGAGGGGGATCTTCTGGTGACAACGTGCACACTGGATGTCTGGTTCGAGCAGAATCTCCTTCCCATAGCCTCCTTCTTATACTTGACACTGACAGAGTCAAGCTGGTGCCAGGCATCGTATCAGTGTCGGCTAGTGCTGGCGAAGGACAAGTTGAACCGAGGAGTTCCAGGAATGTCATCATGCTAGTGTCATGCCTGTTCTCCCGAGTCAGTTACTAAAAATTGAACATGGCTTGACCGGCGAGGTCCTCATCGCTAGCACTACCCGATTCTGTCCCTCCTGCTAGATATTGGTGAAATTCCGTACATGGTGGGATTCAAGTTGGTGTAGTACCAGACAGTGCACCTGCTGAGCGCTCCTAGTACATGTAAGCACCACAAACGAAATAAGAACCCATGACTACCACCTACCTGAACTTGATTCGAATGTACGTCCAAGCGGTACGTAGCAAAGAATTAAGCTGTTCTACGCCAGCAATCGGACTACCTTGGTACCTACTCGAAGTCACCACCGATCTATCCGGGACACGGTCTTCGTATCCCCCCTTGAAGTTCCCAGCCAACTACCCTGCCAGTCAATCAACTGAATGGATCTAACTACCGGCAAATCCATACATACATCCGTAGCCCGGGTTTTCAGCCTGGAAGCTCTCGAGTCTCGAGCATGTCAGGTACCTACTAATAGTCAAGTGATCCGAGGTCATCTTCTCGGATGGGCAAACTACCGCGAGTTCAACATGAAGTCTCCCAGTTCATGTACCTTGACACGGCTGAATATGCAAGGGTCGACTCACACATCAAGGAATTGGGAATATCTAACTAGTGAGTGGTCATGTACTGAGTATGTCTTCTCTGCGTCTCGCTCAGTAAGCCAGCCAGCCACCAGAAGCCAGTTGCCACCTACCTATGCATGTTCGCAGATGCGCTGTTTAGTTCTCTGTTGAGAGCATATACGCATATACGCTTGCGTGAAGTACGATAGTATGTCCGATTACTACTAAGGTCGGGTATGTTCACTTTCTAGGAGTCTAAAGCAGGTTAGGATGGTTCCTTTCACCGTTCGCGGCTCTAACATGAACAAAATCGAGTTAATCAACAGATATGTGCCCGACGGGATACTAGTATATTTGCACACCTTTCAAGTCGACTTGCTCTACTGCATCGCCTTGGTACTCCGAAGACCGAAGGTGTTGGCGGCACTGGGTTCTACTTCGGTGCGGAGTGCGGACTATATAATCCGTCGTCGATATCCACTGATTCATATGTCGGCCGATGAATCGCTAAAACGGGCAACGCCAGCCCTTTTGGTGTCCTACCTAGGCCTTCATGGCGAGAAGGACTCGGATTTAGGGCGCACATGTAGTAGCGAGCCAAGTAAGGTACCTAGGTCACCGGTCTCACACACCGAAGCAATGGCGGATGGCGAGGAGGTATAACAGGAATGCTGACTGTCTTTCTCTATGTACGATAAGCGCCATGCTTAGGTCAGGCTTCTAGGAGGGCGCTGAAAACGGACAGGTGGTCAGCTTCAAAGCCCGGGTGCAGGGGCACGGAGCGATTGTGCCACAGAGAAGCTTCCAAGGCCGCATTATCCCGCACCCAGGTGGCAGGTGAGCATGGGAAACTCAAAGCTTAGCATCGAGATCCGTTCGATCCGGAAGACTCGCCAAGGTCTGTAGCGTTGAAGAGGCACTTACGAGAAATGGGGTTCGCCACCAGACATTCCCACGCGCACGGCTGGAATGATATCCTTAGTAGGGAATGTTCTTAGAAGTTCGACAGAGTCCCCAGGTATGATAGAAATCGCTCAAAAAGTGGCATATTCACTCTGAGCGCCTGTTACACAAATACCTCTGCGACTCAACTCGGGCCGACTATTACAAAGTAGGAGCTTCGGTATTTGAACCTTATAACGGCATCCCATCAATGTTATGGATGGACCAGACTGGAGTTGCCCTTGTTCACAACAGTCGGCCATGCCTGGCCCGTATAGTAGCCAATGTACGCAACAGAACTGAACCGACATGTCCGGCTCAATACTAGTATTGACTTGACGGGCATGATCACGAACACCGTGACACACATCAAAACGACATACCGCACGCGGACATAACTAACTTTGCAGAGCACAACCCGAGGCTTGACTCCTTGAGCACCTATAAAAAGGCTCGGACTTTGATTCGGTCCGGGATGTCATCTTCCACTGTTGTTTGATACATGTATCGCCGCGGTTTCTCGGTCTAAACCTGACACTGCAAAAATTGACAATATTGAAGGGCAAGGTCCAGTCTGGTGAGCTAGAAGTCGAGGCGTCCGACGCCCGAGCGCTTCCTGACTCGGAGAGTCACACACGAGGACATAGGCTGACAACCTGGAAGAAGGAAGGAAAGAACTCAGAATAACAGGACTATTGCCGCCATGATTCGGCTTCTTTACTCCAACGAGGGCTACATGTACGTGTAGAGACCAGGGGTTGGTTGCTGCCTACCTTGCTGGGGACTCTCATTATTCCGAGTCCTCCCGGCTCGAGTGCATCATAACATGCACGGAAACGGAGGTCCAGAGAGCGTACTTCTTACACGCGCCATTCGGAGGTATACCGAGAGAAGTATTCCTAGCCGTAAGGCTCATGGCTAGCTAGTAGGGTGCTCACACTCACAGCAGTACTAGTACTTCGTATATGTGAGTTACAGTATTCAGCTTCCGCTTCGAGCCCCGAGTTCTACCGTGACCCCCTTGTCGTCGTTGTGGTGGATCCAATATCTCCCCATCCAACATCGAAGAAGATGACGTGCGTGCCGGGACGCTTGCGGCCGCTTGGAGCAAACTGGACGGCTGCCCCCGAGCCCCCGGGCCCCCGCAATGGCGCAGCCCCGTTTCTGCAAGGAAGCCGAGGGCCGTTGTTGCCGCTGCACGTCCAGCTAGGGCTGCCAGGCTAGGCTACGTTCATGTTCTGCAGTGCGCCGCGTCGTTCCAGACTCTCCTAGCCAGGGCCATGGGCATTCGCTTAGACGGCACAGCCGCGGTTAGCCCACAATCCCACGTCGGGTGGATTGATCCTACCCGATCCTAAATGGAACACAATGTGGGAATAACTTCCCCCACGTTCCAGCGCTCGCCCCATACTTATCCGTCAAGCGCCGCGTACCACCCTCCGGTCCCGCGAGATGTGCCCCTCGTGCGTCGTCCTCCCGCTCTGGATATACTTCCGCGTGACCCGGCTCTGCTGACCGCACGTTGGGTTACCGCAGTGAAACACTTGTTCATATTGACCATTTTGCCGGGGCCGTGCGGGTTCCTCTTTGCCCGCTGGTGCATTCATGGCCGGCAGCCAAGGTCCCTAGAATGGACCTCGGCCCGGAGGAGAGCGCACTGCATGGAGGTGGCAAGCCCAGCTAGGAGCCGGACCACGAGAAGTGAGAAGCAGAGAAAAGTCAAAAAAGGAGGAGCAATGAACTCGTGCATCTATACTCCTTTTCTAGTAGCGTGGTCGGACTTCTGGGCTGTCGGCTGGTAGCCGCTCATAAAGGCGAGAAGGCTGTCGCTGGACTAAGTAGGTAGACGTGCCCCTTTCCTCTTTACCACCAGACCACCTCGAGGTAAACAAGTGTCAGAGTTCCAACTGAACTGACTGTCTTGTCGACGCAGGATCGAACCCCGCTTGTTTACACTGATTGTCATCGTCTAGTTCGGTAGTTAAATACCTATTCAGACACCGGATTCGTTGGCTTCGTCCTGCTCCTCCAGGTCGGACTGTATCATTCCGGCGCAATAGACGACGAATCCCAAAGCTATACCCGGTTCCATCAGTATTCGGTGATTCAGATCAGGACCACCTCATAATCTTCATTACCTATACATGAAAAGAATCCGCAGTTCTTGTGGTTCCAACCTCTTCAGCCGTGTACCTCCCGAATCTCACCGGATCGGCGCGCGAACCGGATCCGGAGCCGGGCTCGCATGCCGAGAATCTCTCCTTCCTCTCGGGACTTGATCAACCCTTCCCCAAGGGTCTCCAGCGTTTTGCTGGGCAACTTCAGGCTCCCCCTAGTTCCTGAGCCGTCGGCGCCGCGAGGGTGCTGCAAGCTCGGGATCCAGGCCCAAGCAAACACTGCAGCAATTCCCATGACAAACCCATACAGAATAAAAACCCAGCCTAGTCCGCTGCTGTTTGGATTGGAAACGCTCACTCCATCCACCCTCCATGTGGGCAGCGACGCCTGCACAATGACAGAGCCGAGCTTACCCGCCGCTGCGGCGATTCCGTGGCACGTGGCACGGTAGCGTGTCGGGAAGATCTCGGCGGGAATAAGAAACGTGAGCGTGTTGGGCCCTAGGTTGAACGAGAAGTGACAGAGGGCGACCAGAACGATGCTAACGGCGTGTAAGTCGTTGTGGAAAACGGCGAAGAAGCTGCCTCCAGTGATAAAGAAAAGAGCCGCAAGCCAGAGGCACGAGTACATCAAGAACTGTTTGCGCGGCACATAGTCGATGATCATGAGCAAGAGGACACAGCCGCTCACGGACCCAATGCAGACGGTGATCAGGTTCTGCACGGCATTGTCGCGAAGCGCGTCGAAGATGCTGGCATGGGGCCGCGCCGCGTTGGGGTTCCAGCTTGGCACGTCGCCGAGCGGTTCGCCGGCTTGGTAGTAGGTCCAGAGTTTGGCTAGCGTCGAGGGGTTGCCCATTCCGAGGCCGTAGAATGCTCTTGAACCCGGTTAATACCTAATCAACATCAGATGGTCTTGGAGTTGTACATGTACCTACATATCAAGAAGGAACCAGCACATTGACGTCCCGGCCAGTGACCGCCAGTTCCCTTGCTTTAGGAAATAATCGCTAATGTCGTCCCACGAGAACTGTTCGGGTAGCTCAGATTCCTGCTCATGCCTGTGCTGAATGGCTGCCCCGTTCGGCTGCGGAGGGTTAACACTGGCATCACGGCCGAGTTCTTCCATTTGCGGCTCATCCGCCGAATTGGAAACCACCGTCGATACACGGCGGTAGCGGTAGAGCATCATGGTGTTCTGCACGGCCCGTGTACCGTCGTCTTTGACATCAAGGTCGTAGAGCCCAGGATCCTGGATCTGAAATCGGAAAATGATGGCAACAAGCGCGGGAATGGCCCCGACGGCAGCCACCCAGCGCCAAATAATATCGACGACTCGGCCACATTCGCCCTCGCTTGGGCTTTTGCAGGACCTCAGGTCGTAACTGTTGTTGTAGCCTAGTAGCACGCCGTATGCAACGAGTTGGGAGATGAGCTGGCCTACGGGCTGCATAAGGAAAACGGCCACCATCATCCTGGCCCTGGCCTTTGTCGAGGCCCATCTTGTGGTGTGTTAGCAGATGGCCCACAGAAAGAGTAGAAGGCTATATCATGTAGGGGCGATTACTCTGTACAAATTGATGCTGATAGCGGGTACTATGAAGGCATCATGTTAGTATGAGCGTGAACCAGGCCACGGAACGGGAGGAACACTTGCCTCTGCTCCAATGCCTACGCCCATGAGGAAGCGCATTGACACAATCCACGGAAGGACGGCAATTGAGTTCCCGAACCCGGTTGAGCTGGCGGCCAACGCTATCGTAGTGAAGCCGACGATGACGAGTTCTATCCCGTACAGCCGTGTTCGGCCATATTCTGGTTTGCATTGTCAAACTTTAGTTGTTCATTGCTCTTGTCTGCTGATTCCAGTAATAAAATCAAAACTTACTGTCGGCAAGGAAGCCAAACAACAGTTGGCCAATGAGTGAGCCGCCCAGCGTCATGCAGTTGATGAGCGACTCACGCCAGCCGTCCATCTCGTCTGGCCAATAAACAAACGCCAGCGATGGCAGGATGGCATTGGTGGCAAACAGATTATAAGAGTCGGTGAGGAAACCGCTCGCCGCGACAAGGTAGACAAGCCATCGGAAGCCGTGGGCGTCGATGTACCGTCGTATGAAGACGCGCTTTTGGTCCCGAGTCTAAGGGTGTTAGTTTTCAACCGTCATCGGTGTAAGCGGATAACAACGAATCCCGGTAGTCATACTGTAAGGTTATCGGGAATCTGGGGCCGGGAGGCAGTGGAACCCATTTCTGTAAGCCAAGAGTGTTTTTGATCCCGATGGTCGTTTTTGATCCCGATGGTCGTCGAATCAGTATGCGGGTGTCGACCAAGTGAATGGATGCCTTCAGGTTCCGAGGCAGTCCATCTACTCACCGAGTCCGAACCTAGACAGGAAAGTCAGGACTCGATTATACAGAAGCACGGGCCGAGGTGCAAGAAATCCAGGCCCAAGGCTGCGGGGAAGGCATGATGAATTCGCGAATGATCCCTTGACTTGTAGCGTAAAAGAGTCTAGAACAGGGGAAGTTGGGAAACCCATCTTTGAAGTCGACAGCAACCCGGAAACAAACGAAGGCTGATTGAGCATTCATGGGGCACGGACGGTGAAATTGAGCCGCCCATGGAGCCTAACCTTAACCAGGCTGTAAGGTAGGATTTCTATTTCAGGTCATGCTAGACGAGATTACGCGTGCAGTGCGCCTACACTAGAACTTCAATATTAGTCTAAACACTGAGTGTGGGTGGGGAGGGGCGCATGCCTGTAGTTGCACTGCAACAGCGGGCAACACAGCCTGGGTCAGGACTAGTAGGAGTATCTTCGTAGGTACGAATATTAGGACGCCCTTTCAGAGAGGCAGTAGAGCGACCAACATGAGTCGTCTTGGCTGGTGATATTGCATCCTTCCCGATACCATAGTGGCCCCTGAGTGGATACGAAGCTCGAGCCAAGGGAATTCCCGAGCCCAGCTGAGGGCGTGGGCGGCAGGATGCCGCCATAGCCATTAGCATCCTCCAAGGTCCGGAAGATCTTCAGCCTTGTGCATTTTGGCCATGGTCTCAGTGCCACGTGCCATCATGGCAGCATTTCCTTCGTGCAAGGGGTCTCCCATGTCCCTCATCCATGGATCCCTACCCCACACATTTCGTTCACCCATCCCTCTGGGACGCGCCCTGTACATACTGTCCACATCTTTTGCAAGGTCGTTGTTGGATGTGCTTGGTTGGCGATCCCGCGCCTTCGGTGACCGTTCTGTCTTCCCGCATCCCGGACTCTTACCGGATGCCTTTCTTTTTAACGTTGCTTGACCATGAGCTTCGGCGTCGGCTTGCTTGACATCGTCACTGTACTAAAGAAGTGCAAAGACATCTACACTGCCTTCAACAGTGAGTACGAGAGCGCTCCAGCACGAGTCCAGGAGCTTGCCGACACGTGCCGTTATTTGACCAATGTGTACAACGATGTACGAGCGGTCGACGGCGGCGCGTTCCCGCAAGAGTTGAACCAAACATTTGGGCGTAAGCTCGAGGAGTGCAACGACTTTCTCAGCAAATACCGCTCTCTCAAGAATGAATATCTGGCCGAACAGCGGTCGGTGTCCATCACCGACCGCATGCGAGACCAGTGGGAGAAGGCCTGGCAGACAGGCCGGTACGCAGCGTCAGGGAAGACTGCAAAGGACCTGCGGGATGCGCTTGAACTTGAGATCAACAAACTCCTTTTGTTCATCATGACATCGATGCGGTGCGTCCTTCCATGACCCATTATGTGTGCCCCTGACGCACCGGAGCCACAGTGACAAGAGACGCCTGACAAAGTGCCAGGAATCGTGTCAACAACCCAATGCCGCTAATTGCCTCCCGGGATCTCGTTGCATCGCCAGGCTATGATCCGAGATGGATTGAGGGTTTCTTGGGGCGCCTGCAGACCATCAGTTACAAGTACGAGCGCGAGACAAACTCAGCAGCGCAGTCCCTGTTGACGGATTCTCCTCGCGACGCCGATCTTTCAGGTGTCTACTCCGACATGAATAGGCTCTGGAATGAGCTATGTGCCCGCGCCGGTTTGCCCGAGTCTTCGCGGCTAGCGATTCCCATCGATCGACTCCTGATGGCGCCAATGCGGAGCAGGACCGATGCCGTCATTGATGCCACGAGGCCTTCGGTGCATATCTCGCCTTATGCGCCGTTGAGAGAGTTGAGCGACTTTGTCTATGAGGCTCCGCGGCCGCGGCCAGGTCGTTGTGAAACGCTGCAATCGGAAACGGGCCTGAACTCGGTGCCACCATCCTCAACTATCTCGGCCCTCGGAGATCCCAGCTCCAGCACCTTTAGTTTTCCGTCTCTGCCATGTTCCTCAGCCATGACCACACCATCGATACTGGCAAGCTCTGCCGCGCATCTCACCACTCCCGACCCGCGCGGACCAGTTGCGTTTCATCACTTGCCCCCGTCTGAATTCCGTTCTTCCGATCGACCGATAGCGTTCGTCAATCTTGAGAAGGAGGGCATAGTGGAGCTTGGCGAATGGCGCGTGGTCCGCTCAGGCGCCAGGGCTATGATTATTTGGGAGGCAGTGAAGCCATGCGGGACCCTGGAGCATTCACGTACGTTCCAACTGTTTTCCACTCCGCGTCATAGTGCCACTTAACCAACCGCACTTCCTCAGTCCCAACTGAGGTGTTCCCAGAGACACTGCACAGCTCTCTTGGTAGGAAAATGCATGTCACCTTTCCCTTACCTCACGACGAGGACGAAGCACATTTCTTGACGTGGAGAGGTGAGCGTTCCCACAGCAGCAAGGATATCGTGCCCGAGTACTTGTTCCACTCTCCCGAGGCTCGGCGAATATTCCAAAGCGACGTGCGCGACAAAGACCTGGTCGACGGTGGCACATTCGATACCGATGTCATCTGGACGGATAGGACCGAGTCCAAGCAAAGCAAGCGTGAGTCGTACAGCCAAGACCTAAAGATCTGGCGTGGGCGGGGAAACCAGACGGGTCGCTATTCTTTGTCATTCAAGATCACCACCAACGGTCCGTACCAGAACCGTCATGTCGAGTGTGGACTGGATCGGTTTGGAGCTACAGCTCGAACAGGGGCCAAAGATACCCGCATCGTATACCTGGACTTTGTCAGCACCGAGAGGGACAGCCAGGGTACACTGACATCCACTGGGGATGAAGGACCAAGCAGTCCGGCAGGACCACCTCGCAAGAAGCGGGGGCTGTCAGGTATCTTTAGCCGGCCGCAACTGCAAGGTACATATCTTGGTCCCGTTCCGCGTCCAACAAGCCGTTTACCCTGTTTGGATCCTCATGGTTGCTGACGCTTTGGAAAGGGGCCGAGAAACGCAAAAAGAGGGGATCGTTTACGTCCCAGAGATCCGTCCAGCTGATCCCAGGGGGTGACTTTTTTGCCGGTTTGAGGTATCTTGCTGTGGAATTCAGTCATCTTCAGGATAAAACTGGCCGTGTGGTCGAGGGGGCCTCGGCAGGTAAAGAAGCAGTCGGTTGTCTTTTCGGTTGGCGTGCGAGAGTTATTGACCAGTTGCAGTTGCCGAACGGTTTAAAACGCTGTTTCAGAAGATTCGAAAGGAGGAGATGGAGAGATCGCCCTTCATTCCACCGATCGCATTTGCCGTTCCAGACTTTACCCTGGACGAGTCATCGGCCCTGACCGAGGAACCAGAACGCGCCAGCAGATCCGTATCGCCGTCAACGCCTTCGCCAACGTCACTATCACCCGCACCTGGACAGACGACACCATATGCGAGCAGGCCAAAAACGCCATCAGACCTGCTGCTCCCACCAGGTCGAAGTCCATGAAACCCTTGGTGGTCCAGCGAACTTGCCAGCCAATATGGACCAACGTGAGGAGAAGCAAGCGAGACATCAGATTGCCAGTAGGTCCAGGAGTCTGCCCCCTTGTATGACATCAGCTGATGGCTCTGCTGACCCATGGTTCGTCTAGATATGTGAATCAGCGGCGAGGCTGCGAGGTTGCTCGGCTGCAATCGGTCTGGCGCGAGAAGTTTCCGGTTCCGCGCCATGGGGAAACAGCAGAGTCGGGGGAGCCCGAACCTGGTGTGCTCGCGGTGAAAACCAACGATCAAAAAGCTCCAGGTGAAGCGTCAGTCATAAGGTCGCGGCCGACGACGACTCTCCGCCTGGCGCATCTAGGTGTCCTATGACCAATAGCAGTCGGCGCTATTGGGCCGCCCCACAAATAGCTGGCCATGCCGACTTCGAAAACGCCAGAAAACACTGCCATGAACTAGCCGCGCTTGCACTGGCCGAATGGAGCGGCCCGCGATGGGCATAGCATTGATTCCTACGCAGCCGAAGAAGCCTCAGCCGAGTATGAGCACGCGGTTATTGGGTACACATGGATAGGAGAACTCAGTAACGAACGGAGATGTAGCGGCGCTTACCAAGCGGAGGCTTAGGCATCGTGCTGGGGATAGAAAAGCGTTTTGTGATCCAGACAAACCCATCGGGCACCAGGAGATCGGGATCCTGCAGTCTGAAATATGTGGAAGCTGCCGTGGTGACCGTATGATCGAGAGACACAAGCAGCCTCGCCCCAAATCCGAAATGATGCCCTACTCGGAGGAGAAACCTAGCTCAACGTCATCGGGGTTAGAGAAGGCAATGCCTTCCAGATTTGGTGGAGAATGAAGCTTCCATATCATCCATCTTGCCTCAAGAAACTTAGGTGGGCGCCTGACCTGCCGTTGCTGGCATCGCAACTTCCCCGTCTCTCACAGTGCTTGCTCGCGCCTCGAACCGTAAAGGAAAGAGCGTCAGGCCGTCGGGCAGGGCCGAAGAAATCACGGTTTAGCGCAAACGATGCTGTGTACCATATACGGTTGAAATCAGCAACGTCTATCCCTTCAACTGCGCAGTATCGAAGTTTGTGATTTCGTGTCTGTAGGACGGCCATCGGTGAGCGTTGTGCAGTGCGGTACAATACAGAATACATGTGGTAATTTACGGGGTAGGTACTAGGTAACTTACACTATCGCGTGATTATATTGCCGCAACGAAGTTAGTGTTGTGGATCCTTGTTAACCATTGCTGCGCGTTGACGGAAGATGCCAGGTGCCAGGGAACGACGAAGCTCACCAAAACCGCGAACGAGTAAAGACCAGGCGCTTGACACAGCAGCTCAACCAATTCCGTACCTCAGCAGCCTGGTTGTAGGCATCCCAGATTCTGGTCGAGATGGACCTTTCGGATGTCTCCGATTCTTCCTCAACGCCCGTTTGTCAAGTCTTGGTCTGCCAGTAGTCTGGGGGAAGGAGCAGCCGTGGTTTTGGTTTTGGTTTTGTTTTTGTTTGACTCTCCATGGCCTCGGTCGCGTCGCTTGGGTTGCACCAACCCGCTGGAATCCAGTATGCCATTGAAGAAGGACTTCTCCCCCCCGATGCACCCAGCTCCTCGTACACATGGGAGGTTAGCATCACCCAGGAAGAGGGCCGTGAGTACGAGGACGAGCTCCTCGTAACCGACAGCTGTGTGCTTTGGTCTCGCGGTGGCTTCTTCAGGAAGAGCTTCAGATTCCATCTCGAAAAGGAATCCGTCACGCAAGCCCTTCTCGCCTACTTCCCCGCGTCCGCAGACAATCCGAAAAGAGGTTCACAGACCGTTGGTCCCGCTGATGAGACGTCCTCCGACACTCCGTCGACCCCTACGGCGCTCTCAAGGGCGCTTGTCGTCTTTCTCAAGACCCAGGCCCACATCTACTTCCTCTCCGGAGCCAGCCATGTCGTTCACATGCCCTTCGAGGTTGAATCGGCCTGTGCGGCCCCGCGCGGCGTTATCATTCAGCGCAAACCACGAGTGGATAATACTTCAGTCCCCCTCAGGTTGCCCAAGGTTCCGCCCAACTCGTTCATCTCGTCCCAACCACCTCCCGTGTCCCGGCAGACTCAGAATTGGAGTGTGACCGAGTTCTCGACCGAAGGATTAGGCAACGTCAAAGTGCTTCCGCTGCGACTTAGTTTAACCTTGGAGAACATGTGGCAGACGCCCATGGAAACGAGTGACAGCCATTGGCCGCGTTTGGTTTGTCTAACTGATCCACTGTTGGAGCTCGGGCTAGTCGTGACGCACCCTGACAGACCGGCAGCTTCGAGAGGCGGACAAACCATGGGCGTTTCCTTTCTTCCACCTTCTGAAGAGATCCTTCATATCGAGGCTATCAAAGTGCCTCATCCTGACGAGGTAGATTCGAGCAACGTGTGTATTGCGGTCACGGTCAACCGGGAAACCAGCATGTACACAATCTGGCGCCTCGCCTATCTTGAAAATGAAGACCCTTTTCTGGGTCGACAGAAGAAGAGGAAGCCAAAACAATCTCGGCGCCGGAGTTCCATGGCGCCTGCGTTGGCTAGTGGAGCGGCTACTCCTGTCCATCCATCGATGAGGGAGAGTTTCGGTGTCCCGCTTCCCGGAAAAAGGACTAGGAAGAGTGTCAAGGTCGATGACAGGGACAAGACTCTCGACAACGCTTTGAGCTCCTTGGACCCTGATAAAGGCAATGATGTGACGCGCAGACAGTCGCGGCGAGTGAGCTCCTTACTAGCAAGAGCCGATCTTTCTGCATCCCAGGACAGATCTGCCTTTGCCGAACAATCGATGCATGCCGGTCATGGAGGTAGACGCCCAGAGTCTAACGGCAGTCAGCGGCCCCGATTGAGTAGCGGCTACCGTCGGCCAAGCTCTGGCGGCACGTTCAACCCCAACCACAGCATTAACAGCCTCCCTGAAGTCCCAGTCGATGACCTCCTCGAAGAACTGCGAGCGGGCGGAGATTTTGAGGGGTTCCACAACATGGGCCTGGATGATCACGACTTTGACGGGCTCGTCCATGAGATGCTTTTCACGAAAATCCACACCATTAGCATGGAAAACACAACAATGCGATACTCGCTCTCGGGCAAACCCGCCAGGACGCAGGCCAAGGTGTTCATGGTTGCCGGCCCTCCAACAGCTACTGATGATCAAGGCCGGGCGCTTCTCCTGGTTGCCATTCAAGACCCAGTCGACAAGAGGCTCCAGCTCTTGACTCTCCACCTCGTGCCCCGCGAGAATCGCACGCGACACAAAGGTGGTGTCGGGAATCAGGGAGACTGCGGAGGTTTTGACATAATACCGGGAGATCCTCGAAGGGTCCAGAGTGTTGTAGACTCTTGCAAGGTCTCTGATGGGCACGAAACCATCATGATCCTGTCTGAGGATAGACGAGGAGGCAGAGAATTTAGCTTGCAGTCGCCGTGGGGCAAAGTCACAACCATCGCACTGCCCTCGCTATATTTGGCCGATCCCAGCACCCTCGAGGGATACTGGAACGGCAACGCGGGCGAGCGGACCGCGGGACAACAGATCCCGAAGGTTGATGTTACAGCAACCCATATTGATGCCATGCTCCATTCCACTTCGGGCGGTATCGTTGACTTACGGGACAAGCAGGGCAGATATCATCGCATCCGCATTAAACTGCAGCCGTCTTCTCCTTTTGTACGCAAGACTCTAGATATTTGTCGGAGCGTCCTTCCCGCCTCGTACGCGGACAAGTTGTTAGCAGGCTGGTGGCATGTCATGCAGTGGCTTCATAGCGCGAAGCTTGGCGGCTCTGAGAATCATACAAATGACATGGAGTGGTCGGCAGCCGTTATCCTACTGCTAGCTAGCTTCCTGGCTCTCGGGCATAACAGCGAGACTTCCCTACGGACATTCGACAATAGCATGTCAAAACTTTCGGGGAGCAAATGGGAGGCGATGCAGTTTCGTGAGACGCCAAATTCGTCTGCCTGTCCACCTTGGATGCTTGACAGGGCATGGCAGTGGCTGCTTGACAGCGAAGAGCTGGACGCGCCAAACAGCGCCGATGACGAAACCCGGCCCTCACATGACTTTATTCCCTTCCATGTGGGACTTGCGAAGAGATGGGTGGCCTCTGCTTTCGGATTATCAGCATTCGGGTTTGAAGGCTACCTTCCAACTGCCTTGAACAGGATTGGCAGTGGCCGTGAAACGGCCGCTTGGAGTATCGCGCTCGCGCTTCATCTCCTTGTGGAGGAGCAGAAGCTCAACATTCTTTCTTCTGAGGACATATCGCCCAGTCAAACCGATTTGAAGGCCGTCCTTTCCCAAGTCTCCCGGTGGCTCGGATGGCAACGATACGAGGCCCTGTATGCACTGGGCGGGCAGGCAGACATTCCTGTCACACATGATCTGGGTACGTTTGTTTTGCTTATCAGCCTGTGCTCAGGATGCTGACTCTCGCGCAGCCCCATTCGTCACCACTGGCATAGCTGAGCCTCCGTCAGATTACTGCATTCTAACTTGGATTCAGGGGCACTTGACAGCTCGCCCTGGCGCTGGGTTCCCGACGCTGCCGGATCTATACACAACCGCGACCGGCGACAGCCATGCCGGGAACCTACGGAACCAGTTGTGGGCCAGCCTCACGCCGCGTACCATGATGTTTCGGAGATTCTTTGAACTACTTGGTTCATGCGCCCACCGTTTCGAGGCGGTGACGGCTATGCATGAATGTCGTTTTACGCCACAGATCCTAGAGACGTTGCCAGAGGCAGTTCTCACACCTTTGCAAGATCTTATTTCCATTTGCAAGTCGAATCCTCCGCCAGCATGGCCAAATGAGTTGCTTGCGCTGGTGGGGCGCAACGACATGAGTGCTGTTCTGAGAGCAGGCAAGACTTGGAGAGCGCGTGTGTCTGGCATTGATGTAAGGGATCAAATTCCCCAACTACTATGAAGCTCTGCTAATATCTCCTTAGACTCCTTCCCATGTTGCAAAGTGGGATTTCCGTATGCTGTGCCAGCACCTAGACGACTTCAATGACAATGCCGAAGAGACGGATACGACGCAGCGCCAGGCCGTCGTCCGTTCGCTCTTCAAAGAGGACAGGAGACTGAACGAAGCGCAAAGCATGCTGTCGACCCTTAAGAACCGTGTTGTTCGTCTGGATCCGAAACCGGAGTGGACCGAGGCTGAATATCTGGAGCGGCAGAAAGAGTTGGTCGCAACCATGGCAACCAGCACCCTGGCGATCCCAGCCGGACGGGGTCTCTTGTACTTTGCTCTTCGGTATCCGTTGCTCACCCAGAAGTACCAGATCGGCGGGTTTAACCTTTCATGCATCGTCAAGCCCGCCAATAACACCGTGGGCGTCGACAAGAGCATGTTTATTGAAGAAAAGATCAACTGGGCGTTCTTCCACCAGGGCGTTGCCGGCGGGCTCGCGATATCGCCGCAGGCCAAGGGCATCGACACCTCTTGGATTCTCTACAATAAGCCCGGCCAAGACCTCAGCAATAGGCATGCTGGCTTCTTACTGGCCCTCGGCTTGAACGGTCATCTCAAATCGGTTGCAAAATGGGTAGCGTTCAAATACCTCACTCCCAAGCACACTATGACCTCTATCGGTCTCCTGCTCGGCCTGGCCGCTTCCTACCTTGGCACCATGGACTCCCTCATTACCCGGCTGCTGTCGGTCCATGTCACTCGCATGCTCCCTCGTGGCGCGGCAGAACTCAATCTCTCCAGACACACCCAGACCACCGGTATCATGGGCATTGGGCTGCTCTACTGCAACAGCCAACACCGACGCATGAGCGAGATTATGATGTCGGAGATTGAGCATGTCGAAGATGGAGGAGAAGAAGATCCCCTCCGGGACGAGAGCTACCGACTAGCTGCTGGCTTTGCGCTCGGTTTTATCAACCTCGGGAAGGGAAATGACCTCAAAGGCTTGCGAGACATGAGGCTTACTGAGAAGCTACTCACCATCGCCACGTCCACTAAGAAAGTCGAACTGGTCCATGTCCTCGACCGGTCAGCCGCCGGCGCCGTGATAGCCATTGCGCTCATCTACATGAAGTCAGAGGACCACGTTGTGGCGCGCAAGATCAACGTTCCCGACACAATCACGCAGTTCGACTATGTTCGGCCCGATGTTCTGCTCTTACGAACGGTGGCAAAGAACATGATTCTCTGGAAAGAGGTAGATCCCACGTTTGAATGGATCAAGAGCGGCCTGCCTCTAGAGTACCGATCGCGGTTCAAGCTCGATAACATAACCAAGCTGTACAGCCGAGACATGCCCTTCTTCTCAATTCTCGCTGGCCTGTGCTTTGCCCTGGGCCTGCGTTTTGCTGGGTCTGCAAACGGGAGGGTTCGAGACCTGCTCGTCCACTACCTCGATGAGTTCAGACGCATTGTCCAGATCCCCGCTAGCGATTTCGATAGCGAGTTGACGCGCAGCAATGCACGCATGTGCATGGACCTGGTGGCATTGTCGTGTGCAGCAGTAATGGCCGGAACAGGGGACCTCGTTGTCCTCCGCCGTCTTCGAGCGTTGCATGGCCGGGACGACGCCAGCACGACCTACGGAAGCCACCTCGCTGCACATCTCGCCATTGGCGCGCTGTTCCTCGGTTGTGGAACTTGCACGTTCGGCACGAGCGATATCGCCGTCGCAGCTCTGCTCCTATCCTTTTACCCCATCTTTCCTGCGAGCGTGCAAGATAACCGCTCCCACCTCCAAGCCTTCCGGCACTTTTGGGTTCTCGCCACCGAACCCCGCTGCCTCGTAGCAAAGGACTTTGTCACTGGCCAGCCCCTCAGCGTGCCCATTTTGATCCATCTCGTCCCCGGATCCCCCTCGGCGGCAGCAGCAACTGCTGCTGGCACCTCTCAACCACCCCAACCCCAAGGCCCAATCGCCCTCCGCCGTCAGACGCCTTGCTTACTTCCCCCGCTGAATGACGTTCTCCGCGTCGAAACCGACGCCCGCGCACTAGGCTACTGGGATCTAACCCTGGGCTTTGCCAACTCTCCGCAGCTAGTGCAGGATTTCCGCAAGGACCAGACCATGTACCTTAAGCGCAGACCCGCGCATGAGAGTACCTTCCCAGCGACGTTACGCGCGCTGGGCGGCGACGCCGTTTCCTCGTCGGCCTTGCCCATCATCAGCATGCCGATTGATGCTACTCTCACAATGACAAACAGCACACGGCGTACGGCCGAGCCCTTTGAGTGGGTGTTTGATCTGGCAGCACTCAAGGACCTGACCCGGGCCGAGCGCGCCATCGTGCTGGACCGCTTGGGAACCGACGGCGCGGTCGGTGAGGGCGAGGCAGCCAGCACGGCCGTGGATGCCCGCCTGGTTCTGCGCTGCGGATTGGACGCGTACAGATGCTCGAGGGAGAGGCTGCTAGGGTTGAGGCTTCTCTTTGAGTGGGCCGAGAGAAGAAGCGTGTTCCTCCTCCCCGCCGGGGATAAGGATAATAATGGGAAATCTCAGGAGCAGGAGCACCAGCAGGAGGATATGGGCGCCGGTGAGGACTCTAAGCCCGGTAGATCTAGGAAAGAGAGAGGGAAAGGAAAGAAGCTGGACCAACAGAAGGGCAAGAAGAAGGTCTCGGTTGGAACCACAGTGTATGCCGAACCTGCTGGTGACGGTGATGGTGGTGATGCATCTCTCGAGAAGAAGATCGCGTCTGCAGGCACCGGCGAGTTGGAGGCGTCCTGGTGGTTGCGGGATAGCGCAATTGAGGAGTTGAAGGGCCGGACGTGGCTCGCTGGTCGAGAAGGTTGAGGAGCGAAAACTCCACCGCGTTCCGGCATCTGATGTTCATACGATTGCTGCACTTACTAGTCACCGCTGCTGGCAATGCTTATACACACCCAAATAGACTTTGCCTCTGAGGTAAATTGTCGCCGATCTGATTATTGTCATACTAACCAGTGCATGTGAATACGGCTAGATCAAATTGTGCTTCGTGGGCTGTTAAGGGTCACTTGCGGAGGTGAAGAGGGAAGGTAGAGACAAAGTCAAGCAATCGTGAATTGTATTCTCCCTATCTAGCTAGTAATTAGGGTTTGTGTCTAGCAACCACTGTGACACTGCCCCAGCTCCTTAAATCACCGGGTAACACCACTATTGGGATTAGACCATTGTATATTTCGACATGGATTGATGTGCCGCCCTAGGGAGGCACACATATGCCACCCATCGACCAGCGGCACGCATATCATTCGTCCCCCATATATGTGAGACTGTGAGAACGCGCTCTCAACCATTCCCATATGCTGTGACGTATGCTGATATACCCATCCGTCTTGCTCCCTAGCAATACGATGCCAGCCGATTCGCCATGTCTACTTGCCGCGTGCTCAAACCCCAAACGCCTAAGTCTACGGCGATCACAATGGGCAAACGCTGGAAAAACCTGGCGAGTGTCCGCCAAGGCCTGTTCCTATGCAACTGCTTCCTGCCTGATGCCCAGCTACTAATTCCTGGCGATTGCCGCGCCGAGAACGGCGGAACGGAAGAAGCTCCCCTTTGTCCTCTCGATCACTTGCTGGTACGCCGAAGTAGACTGATGGTTGATATAGACAGTGCCCTCCTTGTAGTTAATCTTGGCGTCGACCCGTGTGTCGCGGATGGCGTTGACAATCCACTTGACGGCCTCGTTACCCTTCAACCCAAGCTTGTTGCCAATATCCTCCAGTGTGAAGCGGATGCAGACCTTGCAATAGCTCTCAAAGAGAAGATGCCTTGCAGAATCGACAAATTCGTCAACATGTGCGAGCAGGAAGAAGTCGTTGCGCATGACCTCCTGGGCGAGCACGAGCTGGTCCGCCGCCTCTTGGAACCTGACGTCGATGTACAGGGCGTGGACGAAGCGCGTGATGGGATCCTGGTACTCATATGCCTCTTGCCTTACGATGCGCGCAATATCCTTCATTTGCTTTTGATGCACACCAGGATTCTTGGCCCGGCGACGGTTGGTGATGACGGCAACGCAAAGGTATCGCAGAAGCCACGCGGAGTCGGCTTGGAATGAGTTGGTGTAGTCGGCGTTGAAGAAAAGGTTGAGAAGCGGTTCGCGCGCCTGGTCGAAGTTGAAGAGGGGGAAGAGGGCCCAGTGCATGAGGCGATTCCGGTGGTGCAGCTGCGCTAGCGGGTTCTGTGACAACTTCGAATCGATGCCCTCCCGCACTTTTTGCAACTCCTCCATGGCCGACTCCCAATTGGCCGTGAGGATTTCGCAAGCCAGTCTGCCCCATGTCGCGGATGACACCTTGTCATTGTCGGTTGAGAGCACACGGAATCTGTAGAGGAGATCGGATGCGTCGTTGTAATTGCCGCAGCTGTATTGTAGGAGGGCAAAATCGTAAAGTGCGTTGACCATCTCAATCGTAACCTGTCACATTTGGGGATCAGCCCACAAGACCGCTCTCCAAGGGCAAAGAATTATGCGAGTTGAAGCGACCTACGTCGTGCTCTCGTTTGAGGAATTCCAAGTTAGCGATCTTGTCACTCCGAAGGTTATTGACCACATCCTCGCGGTCCAGCAACTCCATGATCTTGCTCGACTCCTGCTCGAACTTGTCCAGCTGGCTAAGCACCTTCTGCCGCTTCTCGGCGAATTCTGCCGGCGGTTGGTCCAATCCTTCCAGCTCGCAGTATAGGTTGGCGACATAGTCGATCATGTTGGTCTTGTTCAGGAGTGCATATTTGGCCTGTGTGATCTCGCGCGCCTTCTCCTTGTCTTTCACCTCGCCAGATTCCCCGACCAGCCGATCGGCGCTGAATTCGAGCAAAGGAAAAATTAAGTGGCGGTCGAGGCGCGGGATAAGCTTGTGAAGCAGGTCGTAGTCGGCTGGCAACGACGCGACGCCGTCTGTGGTCGGTTCGGAAGCCATGATGGATCCCTCGACTTGGGGCTATGCGCAATCGTGGCCTAAGAATCACAAAGGATTTTCGTGAAATACCAACTCTGGAACAGCCCTGTTGGATATCTCGATCAGGGACAACAAGTCGAGGGTGTGGTGCGCAAGGGGGCGGGAGGAAGGTCAAGCCAACAACCTCTTCCACAGGTATTCTGAATCTTTAGTGGGGTCAAAAAATGGAAAGTTGTGATGCGAATGTGGGTGGGATGTGGGTAGGTACCGGTGGACCCCTGTACCCCTGTGGTCAAAGCCATTGCTGTGGAGACGGCAAATCGTTCCACCGTGATCCGGCGAATCTCGTTCCGTCGATCAGGTGCCGTGCAGCTGCCAGCTGCCTTGGCTCCCGGATTAAGAAGTTAACGTTAGCCTGACGATAACGAAGTTATCGCGAGAAAGAATCGAGATCCATTTCGAGCTGATCGCTAGCATTGGCGACTTCTTCCTAAGCCGTCCCGTCTCAGCCGCCAAAGTGCCACAATGCTCCGTTCCACGGCCCTATTCCGGGCGACAATAGCGCCTTCTCGACAGATTCTTCAGCAAACGACTTCCTCAGCCAGTCTTGTCAGCAGGAGATGCCTCGCAACAGCAACAGCAACAGCAACATCAACAGCGCAAGAACAACAGCCAAACTCACAACCACCCTCAGCAGCAGTGCAAACAACAAGTACGACGACACAAAGAATACCCCGCCCCTTCCACGTCTCTCGCACGCCAGGCAACAACTTCCCCGTCTACCAGCTCCGAAAACGCGGCGGCAACAAGAAGCTCACCACCATCAAGAAAATCGAGGGCGACCGCAAGGCCTTCAAGGAAGTGCTAGCGACGGGGTTGGGGCTCGATCCAAAGGATGTCAAGATTAACCCCGTGACTGGGCATGTCGTGGTAGAGGTGCGTCTACATACATAGTTCAGCCATTCATCCCACACATAAGCCTGCCCCAGAGGCACCTCTCCCGGGAAGAAAGAAAGAGTTAGTTCGCTGACCAGAAACCCGCACGCGAACAGGGCCACCACAAGCCTCAGGTCGACGCTTGGCTTCAGAGCCAAGGTTTCTGATCGGAACAAGCGTGTATAATAAACTGGGGGTTAGAGCATGACAGTATGGGGCTGTATCTGGCAAAGCGTATCGCAAGATGCGATCTGCCTGGCCTGGGAAAGAGTATTGTGCAACATGCACAGGATACCAACTGGTCTGACAGAATTATGGCTGGTTCACAGCGCCAGTTTGGACAGTCAGTGGGTGTGGTCAGGTACAGCCGAGAACATAAGGGCTTAGCCATTCCGGCTGCTCCTCGCAACACTTGAAGATGGGGTTAGAAAGTGTATAGTATGCAACATGTACTACTACGAATATTTCGTCACAAAACTTAAACCTCCCGGCATATTGCACGGGGGACAAGACAAGATACAAAACACCAAGCCAGCGGATGGTTGAGGTATTGTACCACACATGCAAATAAACATCTCTGTCTGCCGATCAACGCCCGTGTTGGCCTAGTATACGCTATGCCAGGGCGCCTTCCCGGCCAGCTCATATCGTTTGTCTTGAGTCTCGGTTTTCCAGATACAACAAATATGCACAAAAGAGTGATAGCAAGCTATGCCCATCGCCCACCAACCCCTCGCATCCTACTCTTGGGAACCCAAGTCGGCATGTAAACCCAAATTTCAGGAATGCAAATTCGCTTGCTATCTAACTAGCCTCTGAACGCCCAGCACTAGTCCCCAAACCGCCATCTATTCCCTTAGCAGTACCGAAGTCGATGCCCGAGGGGCTTAGCGACCCAAGTCGACGTACGCCAGCAGATCCGCCAAAATGCCTTCCTTAGTCCACTCGTTCGCCTGCATCTGCAGCGCACTGAGCACGCTTTCCCTGGCCGGAAGAACTTCCGGCGGCACGCTGACCTTTCGTTCCGGGCTATTGGGATCATGCGCCTTCTCCCCGAGCCGCTTCAACATGTTGACGGCTAGCGCAATGATATACACGAGATCAAGATCCCGCTTTGGCTGGGTTCGTGGCTGGCCACCCGTCCTACCGGGTGGACCCTCGAACTGAGCACTCAGCTGGCGGACCAAGAGCAATAGGTTCTGCGCAAAGCCATTGCCAGATGCAAGCCATGCGCGCGTCACCCCGCTTTCATACCCAGGAGCAAGTCCGGCCATGATGTCGGCGGCAAGAAGACCTTGCATTAGGACGGGCTTGCGCGCTTCAACCAGGGATGGCAAATTCATGGGCCTGTGATCGCGTGAATGGTCGGGTAGTGGGGATATCGCGAGACCGAAAACGCGGGTAAGGAGTTCGCAAGGGGGGGAGGCGTTGACGGCCGCCTCGGCCGCAAAGATGGCCTTGTAGTACGTCCTGTTCGGCTCGTCCCTTGCCAGTAGCTTGGCTAGGCAGTCGACGGCATGGGGTAGATACGGATGTAGCGCGGGTTCGTATGATGAGAAGAATAGCCGGTCGTCCGACCACGTCGGGCCTAGAGTCGGTGCGAAGGCGAGCAAGAACTGGAGCAGGCAGAAGGCCTGCTCCCGTCCGGGTATCTCCACCGAGCCAGCAATGTTCGACAAGAGAGTGATCAAGTCCTTCATCAAATCTAGGGTGTCGACCTGGGTTCGAAGGAGCATCTCGCGGGTTCCCAGGTATCTGATAACGACGCAAATAAACTTGACGACAGTTTCGTCCGCGAGACAAGCGTGGTTCTCCTCACGGCATGAGAGGTTCCGCAGGATGGTTGTAATGCAAATGAGCCGCTCCACCGCGCGCTCGAGCACATGCGCCTGAGACCCGAAGAGTGGCGGGTGGCGCAACGCAAGTCTTTCTACCCTGCAGGCGCGCACAACATCCTCATATGAAGGGATGGTTATCTCGTTTGATGCTTCTTCAGAGTTCTCCACCAGCAAGTCAACTTGCTCTTCGGCACACTCAATCAAGGCTTCGACTAGCTCATCGCAATGTCTCAAGTCAATCTGGGGAATGGGTACCGGCTGCGTGGGACTGAGGAAGTGATAGTCGCTGCACGTCAAAGCCGCCAAAGTATCGAGGGCCAGCCGAACCTCGCCATAAATGCCGCTCTGGATGCTTTTCGTGAGAGCGTGAATGTCGACATTCCCAAATTCGGTTGGCAACGGGATGTCGATTTTGGATCTCTGCAACTCATCGCCAACCTTCATCAAAGCGTTCACGTCGAACCCTCCATGGGTTGTGATTTCTCGCGAGCAAGGCATATACTCATCCGGATTGGTCGCAAAGGGAGCAGGGAATTTCAGCGAAGCCCCGACATCATCGCTCATCCCTTGGCTTTCCGGGTGGGCGGAGCCGGGAAGGGACAAAGTCCCAGCTTTGCTCTGTGCAGGTGAAGGGATAGGAAATTCGTCCACTGTGGGAGTAGCCTGGACGCTCCTCGACAAGCTGTTGCGTGAATGTCCTTGGTTGGAGAGCATCGGCTGTTGGCCATGGCCAGGAGCTGAGAAGCCATTGACGCCTGTCTGCTGCGGACCTGATGGCTTGATGGGGGATTGCATCTGGCCATGTTGCAGTTGCTGTGACTGTTGCATCATCTGAGCCTGCATCTGCCCCGAAGACATAGGCTTCGTGGGCGTTCCGGGTTGCGCATTTTGGACATTGGGCATACCTCCCTGCTGCTGTAGCCGCATCTTCTGTTGCGTGGCCCAGAACTCCTCGTACTTGAGCAGATTTCTTTCGTATAGGACCTTGAGTTGCGGTGCTACTGTGGGGATTTGTTGAGGCGCGAATCCGCTAGACTGAGCAACTTGGATCCAACCGTTTGAATTTGTCGCATTCCGGTATCCGCCAAGTCGGTAGTACACGAATTGGAATAGGTTATGCAGGGGAATAGGACGACCTTCGACAAATGGTTGCAGATCCACAGAGAGGCCCTTTGAATTCATGAAAGCTGTCAGGTGCTTCATGAACTGTTCTGGGGTAGGCATCCGAGCCATTGGCTGCTGTTGAGGCATCCCCTGCTGCGGCCTCATTGCGCCTGGTTGTATTTGGCCGTTGGGGATACCTTGCCGCGAGGCCATTATACTTCGCGCTTGTGCCTGGGCCTGCGCTTGAGCTTGCGCTTGAGCCTGGGCCTGGACTTGTGTGTGTATCTGTGCCTGCGTCTGGCCAGCCTGTGCTTGCATCATGTTCTGAGCATTCATCTGGTGCATTTGCATGCCTGTCCGCTGCGCTTGTTGTTGGAGTTGCATTTGGTACAGGAGCTTCTGCTGCTCCAGCGCATTTCGGGGTTGGCCCATTTGCTGTGGGAACATCATGTTCGGCATCTGACCCGCCATCTGACCAGTCATTTGACCGGGCATCTGTCCCGCAAACTGGCCCGGCATCTGGGCGGGTATTTGGCTTGCCATATGCCCCGACATGTGAGCTGGCATTTGCCCAGCCATCTGGCCCGTCATCTGTGGCATCTGCTGAGCCATTGCCATCTGCTGGGGCATCATCTGGCCTGCCATTGGGTTCGGTCCTGGAGACGGCCGTGCTGGGGATTGCGCCGGTGTGAACTGGGGGTTAAAGTTCTGCGAGAAGTTGCCTTGCTGCATGAATTGCTGCGGCGTTCCTGTATGGTCAGGCGGTAAAGGAGACGCCTGGGGAAACTGTTGTGCAGCAGGTGAGAAGGGATGTGGGGAGGTAGACGCGACCCTTTGTGGAACGCTTCCAGGGCGCATCTGGTTGCCCAAGATGGGGGACGGCGTCGCGTTCCCTGAGCCATTCGGCTGGAGGTGGGGATATGGAGACGGCTGAGCGGACGATTGTTGCGGCATGCCGGGTTGTTGGAATCCCGGAAAGGATGATTGCTGCGGCGTCTCGGCGCGTGAGGTTGGTAGCATGCCCGGCGCTGGGCGCGGCGACTGGCCCATACCATCTTCTCTCGGTCTCGGTCGCTTCGAGGGAATGACGGAATTGGTCTGATACATTTGGTTCGGGAAGGAAGGCGATGCATTGCGCATGGGCCCGTTGGCCATGGCCAACTGTTGTGGGTTCGCGAACTGGGAGTTGAATTGCGCCGGATTGCCCATAAAGACAGACGGATCCATCATGGCGCCAGTGACGGCGGATGGGTCATTGCCGTGAGGGAAGCCGTTGCCATTGTGGTTAGGGACAGCGGCCTCGTTGATCCAGTTGCTCATGTCGTGCGAAGGATGGATGCGGTAATGAAAGCGATCGCGCCCATGAGATGGATTTCTTGCAGCGGAGTCAGCAACCACGAGATTTGTGCGAAGTAAATGCCATGGACCAAAAAAATGATTAAATCGAGATGGGCAGTGACACGGCAGAGGCTTGTCGCGATGGAGCAGTCGCGTCGCGGTGTGTGTCGGGCAGTGTGCAGTGCAGTGGGCAGAGGCGGGTTTCTGGCTGCTGGGGGGAGCGGTGGCAGTGGGCAGCAGTGGTCAGCGCTGCTGCAGTCGGGGGGAGGGGGGGCAATCGGGCCCACACCCGAAGCGAACAACAGAACCAAGGCCCGCCCAAGTTGGCAAGTCAGGAAATTTGGGTGGGAGAGCGTGCCGAGGCGAAGATGGGAAGGCTGGCGGTTCCAGGTTGCAGCGCGATGCCGGCACCGAGAACACACGGAGCCGGAGCAGCAGCAGCAGCGGTAAGCCAAACAATGACCGACCGGTAGCAACCACCGGAAGACGGGAGAGTGGAGGCAATCAGGCTGGGGGTGTGTTCGACGTACACAAAAAAGCCCACGAGACTGGTCGACTGGGATGCAGAGGCGAAGGCCGCGTGGAGCTGAGCCGCGAGAAATTTTCGCAAGCAGCTTCCCGGCGACACCAAGCCTCCGGCCAACGATCAGTGCCCGCGCAATCCCAATAGCATCAGAATTGGAGGCCCAGAGGAAAGGAAATCACGAGGTTGAATATGTACAGGCCCCTAATCGGCAGGCCAAGGTGGATAAGGGTGGGAAAATTGACGAAGGAAGTGCAGGTCTTACCTCTGTACAGTACTTGGGTTCGCGTTGCTGGTCGGATGTCCACTGTTCCTCCAGTTGTGCTTGCGACCAGGAACGCCGAGTGATCTCGTTCTTTCAGCCGAACAACCCCTTGCACCAAAATATACTAGTGTAGTGGGTCCAAAAGCAAGCGGCTGACGAATCGAAAGCGTGCTAGCGCGCTACTCTCAGCACAGCGTGACTTTTGACCTTTCACTAGGTCGTCCGTTAATTGCTGTAAGAAGCCCATTTTCATCCCCATCTTCCAAGACGGAGCCCAACAAAGGTCAGGGAAGTTTCTCTCTGGTTTGCACGCAAAGAGAACAAAAAGTGCATATGATGACCGACAACAATCATTGCCTGTTGCCGGTGGAATTGGGACATACTTGCCCTTCCAGCACGGTGCCTTTGAAGCCTTCTGAATGGAAGCAGCGTGTTGCAAGCCATTGCAAGGTTTGAGGCACGCATTTCAGGTCAAGGAATCATCCGGCTTTTAGGGGTTGGAATCCATGAAACGACGGCTCAACCGAGTTTTCGACAGCCAAAAGAAAGCAGCCGGTGCCTCGAAGTTCCAGGGAGTGATCGAATCTTCTTCGCGCATGGCGAAACATGTATCGCCATTCTAGGACCGCATTCGCGTCAGTCGATTGACCGCCGAAACTCCGGTTCGGCTGCCCCGCCACTCGATAGCGGCATCTCCCAGTCATCACCATACATGACTCCCGCTGCAAGGCGTCAGCCAGCGGAATACAGGGTTTCTGCGCTCATTCCAAGCAGTGACTCTTGACAGGGTCTTTGAGGAATGGGCAACACTAGAGTCAATTTGCGGATATTTCTAGAGAATCCCCTCAACGCGATGGATGGTTGCCGGTACTGGGTGTTGTCGTCTGAAGGCCGGGGTGCGTCCCACATGGCTGGCTGGGTGTGGTGGAGATCCCGGTCACCACCCACACACCCAACGATCCGAGGGCATATGCTTTGGCTGGCGTAAGGAGCGCAGAAAATTTGTCGCACAACGTTTTGTTCTTGCTCGAGCTCTCCTCGATCACTCAAGCCGCTGGCGAGCAGGCAATTTTTCTGTGCTGGCCTTGCTGCCGTCCTGTTGTCACTTTCAGGAGTTCAGCCGCGGGTGCTCCCGGACCGTTCCGGGGAAAGGGGTGTTACTTACTGGGGCCATGGTGACAGCGATCTCCTATTCTAGCAGGGACCACGACAAGAAAATATCCGAGTCAAAACGACAAAATATAAGGAACAGGTTTAGGAGAATGGGATGGGGTGAAAGGGGAACGGAAACCAAGGGGGATGTGGGCAGTTGGGCCGTTTTAATGTCGACTGTCCTTCACAGCGAAGTCACTATTACAGCCAGGCACTAAAAATTCTCCGACAAGAAATCATTTGGCAGGCATTTCGAAATGTACAGTACAGTACGGTACCTCCCGTACCTGCTTAAACCTGCCACACCAGTCCAGCAAACTCAAACGCTCGGAAGCTGTCGACGTCCTCGTCAGGCTTCCTGGCCAACTTGACTTTGCAATCACGAGACGGAGCAAGCGACGGGCGCTGTCGGACTTGGACGCAAGCTTGATTTTGATGCTCTCAAGCTGCCGCATCGCTGGATTTTGCCTCGCACAAGCACCCCACCCGCCCGATCGCACTCAACCTGACTTTATTGCCAGTCACAGTGTCACCCATTCATTACATGATGCCGACGCAGCATACATTCCGCACGCACAATGAAAATGGATAAGCTTCTGCATGTAACAAAGACGCCTCGAGGCTGGCCCCCGCCCTGGATCGTGGCCTTTCCATGGCAAACCTCTGGGCCGAGAATCGCTCCTCCTATTCAGGCATTCGGGCACCTTTGTTTCAGGTCCACAACTTGGCTCGTCTCGCCCTCTCTCAGATCGGCCGGAGGAGGAGTCCGTAATAGAGTGTAGCTGCGTCCTCGATCTGCTGTGTTCCGTGGCAGATGCCACAAGCCTGGATGCGTCTTTTGATTAAGCCCGAGAGGCAAAGTCACTGATAGTCTGATAGGCTCGGCCGCCAAGAAGTGGCCCGGATGGACTTGAGGGATCTCCAAGGATCGGGTTTGTTCACCTCGCCATGATCCCTGCCAACGTTGCCGACCATCACGGTGTTGCGATGGATGCTCGGGCTCATTGACAGACACAAAGTCACAAATCCTTTTCCAGATGCCTCGCTAGCCCGTCTACTTCAAGCCGACAGCTATCGAGCCGTTGGGCGGAGCAAGCCATGAGCAGTCGCATCTCGTTAGCCCATCGTGCGCGACCGTTAGGGAAAAAATTCCACTATGTTACAGTAATCACAATACAACAAGGAACAAATGCTTTGGGTCACCACTGTCGACACTAGACACATATGGCAAGAAGAGAATCCACTCATCTCGTGCAGGTGCTGGCTGTAGGTAAGTTAAGTCAGTCTCGCGGTGAGGATGCTGAGCAGACAACCCCGCATCTCAGAACGCACCTCATCGCCATGGTGGAATCGTGATACCTGCGGAACAAGAAAACTGGCAGCGAAAGTCCAACTGAACATCACATCACTCTGCACGCGTCCCATGCTCATCTCGTTCATACGCATGGTATTCTCAGTCATTACTCTCGCGCCAACGGACGGATTGAGCGGCGAGGGCGTTGGCGAGGACGCTAACTGGTTGCTATTTCTCATCGGCCGCCCAAAGAGGTCGCGAGTTCGCCAGGGTACAAATGCGTTACACCCACACTGTGCTTGATTTTGACAGTTTTGCAATCTTGGAGCCAAAAACGGGCAATATCACACCCCCACCTGCCCGACGTGTGACTCGCCGACGCAGCTGGTTTAGTGCTATTGTATGATCTCACTTTTCGAGCTGTCATGGCGAAGAGGAAAGTCACATCTGCCGGGCAGCCAGCTGCCGAACCAAACCGACGCTCGCTACGACTCCAGAAGCCCGAGGACGGGGCCACATCCCCCGCGGCGGAATTGTCCAAAGAGGTAAAGATAGATATGGTCTCAGTCCTTGCGCTCGATATCCACCGCCCATCGCCGATATGAACCCGTGATCGTCCTTCTCGTTTGATAAAACCATCTCCCCCTGGACCCTGGCCCACTGCCAGGCACGGTGATGGGCGGCTGCTCAATTCAAAAGTCTAACGTTCAAGTAGGGACAGTCCACTGCCATTTCTGAGCCACCGGTCAAGAAAAGTCGCACGGGCCGGCAACAATCAAGGCCACGGGCGGCGGGAAGGAGTAGTGAGGAGCCAAAGGCAAACGGCAGCAATCCTGCGGTTACGTCCTCCAGCGTAACAGATAAGAAGGATGACGGGGAGAGAAACTACTGGCTCATGAAGGCTGAGCCTGAATCACGGCTCGAAAATGGAGTCGATGTCAAGTTCTCAATCGATGATTTGAAGGCGAAAACGGAGCCAGAGCCATGGGACGGTACGTTGACACTATGCGAAGACAACCCCTGAATGGCCGAAGGAAATCCACACATCAAGCCTTGTGGTTGACCACCAGCCCGCAGGAATCCGCGCTTATGCCGCTCGCAACAACCTCCGATCCATGAAGAAGGGCGACCTGGCCTTCTTCTACCACTCGAACTGCAAAGAGCCTGGCATCGTAGGAACCATGGAGATCGTCCAGGAACACTCTCCCGACTGTGGGAATCCACCCAACCCGCATACTTTCATCCGAGTTTCTAACAATATCACCAGTATCAGCCCATGACCCCAAAGCTCCGTATTACGACCCCAAATCCAAGCCATCCGACCCCAAGTGGAGTGTCGTGCACGTCAAGTTTCGCAGCAAATTCGCCGTCCCCATCGGCCTTAAAGAACTAAAGGAGATGGGGGCGCCAGGGAAGCCTCTAGAGAACATGCAAATGCTCAAACAGTCCCGCCTGAGCGTCAGCAAGGTCAGCGCGAGCGAGTGGGAATACATTATGGGCTTGGTCGAGCAGAAGGCCTCCTAAGAACAGAGGTAACACGCTCACAGGTGCGGATAACGCACGGAGTGTGGAATGTAAGATAGCTATGCCTCAGCGATATGTAATTTATGCCGGAAGGGTATCATTATGTCAACGACAACTCCAAGGACCGCTTCCCATGCTCCAGCACCGTCCTGATGGCCTCATCCAGACTCTCCTGGGCTAGAATGGAATCCACCCATGGAACCAGTCTCGCTGCGAGTGACTTTTTGTCGTGTGTCATCTCTAATGCGCCCTTCAACCTCGCCAGCGACTCCCGCAACGCCTTGGGGAACGCAGGGGTCTGCATGTCAACTCCGATGAGTGGCTGCCGTATCTTGCAGCTCCATGTGCACGGGTCGTTGGGGAACAGCTCCTCCATCGCACTAAGAACATGCTGCAAAATATTGTCGCGTGACGAGACATTATCGAACCCGGCAAACACGTCAAAAAACTTGTCGGCTGCCGCGGCCCCAAAGAACGGTTGCTTCCTGGCAATGTCGAAGATGGCCATGGGTATGGCGCCGTTGAGCGCGGGGCTTTGCTCAAGCTTCTTGGTCTCCTCCTCGTCAAACACATTTGGCTTCTTCTTCCGCCCGGCTCCCTCGGCCGCGTCCGGGTCAGGGAGCATCAGGCCGTCGTCATCCCCGCTCTCATTGTCTTCGTCGTCAAACTCAATCACATCCCCTTCCTGCTCCGCCTCAGTAGCCTTGATAGCCGCGAGGGCATCAACACCCTTTCTGACCCCCTTGCCATTCTTCTTAGCCTCCACGCGCGCAAGCCATTCCATCTCACACCGCGCATACTCAACCCACAGAGTCGGCTCGCGGTTACAGAAGCGGCATCCCCGCAGAAAGTGCGCCCGGGCGCGCTCCATGTCGCCGGCCTGGGCGGCGCGGCGGCCGGCTAGGGTCCAGAGGGACGCATCGGTCGGGTGCAGGCGCAGGGCGCGGGTGGCGACGCGTCGCCAGCGCTTCGAGGCCTTGACCTGGGCGGCAAAGTCGAGGTAGGCCAGCCACAGGGGCACGCAACCGGGGTGCTTGAGCACGGCGCGCTCAAAGATGCCAAAGGTGCGGGCCTGGCTGGCGTGGGCGCTCGACGAGCGGATCTTGAGCCGCGCGCACCGCTTCGCACGCAGTCGGTCTAGTGACCGCTCCCAGGCGACGTAGGAAAGGAAGTCGTTCGGCTTGCTCCCCGGGGAGAGGATCAGGTGCTCATAGTCTGCGCGCTTGGTGACGAGGGAGCGGATTTCTTCCTAGATCCTGGGTTAGAGGCTGGGAATCGGGGGGTAAGGGGGATTGGGAGATAACGGGAGTTGCTGACCTTGGAAAAGATTTCCTTTTCTTCGAATTCCCGCAGCTGTGGCGCTGCTCGCTCAAGATAGTAGCGCGCTTTGTCTGCAACGCCGGCCATTTTTGGGGATAAAGTGGCGCGGTAAGTATCTTCAGGTCCGGAGTGTCAACGGTTCCAGCGAGCTCTGGATACCATAGATTTCTTGGTTGCACCGTGGCAGGCACTGGACTTTTTAGTGGGGCTCCTGTTGATTACCGCCCTCCTTCACCGCCCTGTACATAGTGTACACTGTACACTCTACAGTAGAGTACGGTACGTACCCTTCCTTAGTATTGGGATCCCTGGATCAACCAGCTGTTCCACTGAAACGGAACGGCAGGAACCAACGTAAGACACAGGTGGATCCAATCGAGTTCAAGATCGATTCGCGCCGCCGAGGGCTCCGTCAGCTTCGCTCCTCGGATGGTCAAACAGCAACAGCCATTGGATTTCTTCTTGACACTCCTTTGACCCCGTTTTCCTTGTAGCTTTTTGCGATCCATAGCGTTTTCGATCAAAGATCGAAGCGATTGACATGTTCATCCCATAAACAAGCAGTTCGCCAAACGTTTTCTGTTAAGCGGGCGACTTCTGAATCACGCGGCAAGATGGCGTCCCGTTACAAGGACAAGGACGCCGGCGTCGTGCTCTCCTTTGGCGGCCAATGGGTTAGTTGGTCGCACACGGCCGTTGCTTACAGTGAGTGACACTTGCAGATCCAGATTTTTGCTAGACAATAGGCTAACCGGAGCTACTACAGTGGCCTTCTTAAGCGCCCTTGTCGTCGGCTCCGCGCTCCATTATCGCAAGATCGTCCAGAACGAATGGTACGGCTACCCGGACGAATGGTTCCCGTCCGTCTCAGCTACAATTGGCGATCGATACCCTGAGCGCTCCATCTTCATGATCTTCATCGCCATTACTTCCGGTGCGACCGAGTGGCCCCTAGTCCGTTTCGCCAACAACTGCTGATGCGCTGCAGGTCCGAGATTTGCCCTCGTTGGACTTTGGTACCTCCTCACTGCGAAGCCTGGCCGCACCCTTCCTAAAGCAATCGCCATTTCCGGCGTCATTCGGACGCTAACATGTGGTGGGTGGACGTATATCACGTCTACCGACGATCACGACTGGCACGATATCTTGATGATCTCGTACATCGTATTCACAATTCCGTGGACGACGGGGTGCATTGCGCTCAGTCCACCAAACGCGAAAGCTATCAAGTACAGAAAATATCTGGCTGGAGGCTTCTTCGGCACCCTCATACCGTTGATTTACTTCTTCATCCAGCACAAGGTTCACCGAGTGCCGGGGGGTAAGCCGGATGGACTTCATGCCCAGCGGAAGTATATTCGATGCTAATGCGTTTCCCAGCTTACACTATCTACGCCTTCTTCGAATGGTCGCTGATCTTCTTTGACGTTGCCTTCGACGCCGTAACGGCTCTGGACTTTGACACTTTTGAGTTGGTTGTCAGGGATGTCAAGGGCGCAAGCAAGGGGTACGTCCAATGGCTCCCGAGATAACCCTGTCCTTTCGCAAGTTTGCGGCATGGGACTTGTATATATCCATAAGTTTGGAATGAGATGATGATGTCATGTTCTAAGAAGCGGTTTCCATAGTGTCAACACATCGTCCGTGCCTACTGCTGTCCTGGAAAAGGAGTAAGCCTTGCCCTGAAAATACCCCTGACTGCGGCGGCTAGGAGTGACTAATGACCATGGGTGCAGGAAGGAAAAGGCCACCGGTGGGGTCTTCTCTGCTGGCTTCCGCCTGAACGAGGCCTTGGACATTGCGGCCGACGTGTATCACGGTGTAAGTGCTTGTTGATTGGGTGGTATTGAGTGCGGTCTAACTTTGTCCAGTTCGTCTTCTGGTCCATCTTGACCAGCCTTGGTGTGGTTATCTGGTGTAAGCCAATCCGTGGCACGAACAACACGCTAAGTGCATGCTAACATGTGGCAGACTTTCCGCTCTGGCACATGGGCATCTCGGGCTACGAAGCCCTCGTCATGTCCACCATCTCGCCCAGTCTTCTCGCCATCAGACCGCTCCGCTCCTTGATCGTGAAGAACCAACGCGTCACCCATCTTCTCTCAATTGCAGGCTTGCTAGCATACCTGGTTAAAGACCCGGTGTCCCGACTGTTCACAGTTGGCTTCGGCGTCTGGATGGGTTGCCTTGGATGGGCCGCCACTTGGTATTCCGACTCAGCGCAGCCTGCTAGGCTGGAAGCCCGTATTCTCGCGTGGACAATCGGTCTGCTCATGTCTTCTATTGCCAAGTTTGCGTGGTACACGAACAACCCCATCTGGCCCATCATGCACGCCGAGAACGGTGGTTGGAACGGGACGGGTTTCGTCCTGGCCGTTCTCGCGGCCCTGAGATTCACCCGGCGGGCCCCCATCCAGACCGCCGACGTCCCCGAGAGTAAGGGGTCGGCCCTGCTCTCCGCGTTCGGTATTGGTGGCCTGTTCTTCGGTCTCCACTCACTACTGTCCGATACTAGCACAATGATCCTCTGGGTTTGGGACGGGTACCCGATCAGGGGCCCCGTCTCGAATGTCCACGGTTGGTACACCATCGCTGCTATGACGGCTGGTTTACTTACGGGCGTGTTCAAGCCCCGTTTAGTCACCACATGGACTGCTTATGGCGTGGCATGTGTCGGCGCTGCACTGCTGACTCTTTACCAACGGTGGTTCGGCTACTACGGCGGCCTGACGTTGGCTGCCTATTTGATGGCCATCTCTATGCCTCTGATTGGGAACGCTGCTAAAAAGAATCCTGCCGTCACGTTCGGGCTTGGCTTCTTTGTCTATAACCTCATGGTTCTCTTCCACGTGTGGGTCGTCGCGTATGCCTTCGTGCCTGGTGGGCCTCTTGTGCGCGAACACACGGATTGGATCATGATTACCATGATGCTCCTAATTGGCGCTGGTGTGTTTGACTTCATCTCGCAGCAGGCCAGGTCCGGCCGTAAGGACGACCGCCGCCGTGCTGCCAATACGAGCCACCGGAAGTACCACCTCGGCGCTCTCGGCGTCCTCAACATCATCTTCCTCTGCGCCAACTTCCTCCGTTTTCCCACCAACGACTACAAGCCGTACCACGCCAAGGATCGACTCTTCACGGCCGGCATTTGGACCATCCACTTCTCGCTTGACAACGACATGTGGTCTTCTGAATACCGCATGCGCGACTTGATCAAGGAGATGGAAGTAGATGTAATCGGACTGTTGGAGTCCGACCTGCAACGCATCATCATGGGCAACCGCGATACGACGCAGTTCCTAGCGGAGGACCTAGGCATGTATGTCGACTACGGCCCGGGCCCGAACAAACACACGTGGGGCGCCGCGCTGCTGTCCAAATTCCCCATCCTCAACTCAACCCACCACCTACTGCCCAGCCCCGTGGGCGAGCTGGCCCCTGCCATCCACGCCACGCTCGACATCTACGGCACCCCGGTCGACGTGTTTGTGTTCCACTCGGGCCAGGAGGAAGATCCCGAGGACCGCCGTCTCCAGTCCGAGTACCTGGCCAAGCTGATGGGTTCCTCGACTCGCCCCAGCGTCTTGCTCTCGTATCTCGTCACAAAGCCCCTCGAGGGCAACTACAACACGTACGTCTCGGAGTTGAGCGGCATGCACGACGTCGACTGGACCGACTGGGACCGGTGGTGCGAGTACATACTCTTCAAGGGACTCCGCCGCACGGGCTATGCTCGCGTCAGCAGAAGCACCATCACCGATACCGAGTTGCAGGTGGCCAAGTTTGTAGTGCCCGCCACCGAGGAGGAAAGGGCCGCTGCCTGGACACTCGAAAAGGACCTCCGCGACAGGCGCGTGCATGAGGACGAGGTCCCTGAGGGCTGGCGGTTCCCGGCTTTGTTTAGAGGCGAGGGCGTCAGGGGCCATCGGTATCATGTTTTTGATGAGCCGAGGTACTTTAACTATTAGACAGGAAAAAGGGGTAAGAATGAGTGCTGGGAGAAAGGAGGCGGGTGAGGATGTATTTAGGAAGAAGGGGAGGGAGTTAATATCCTTGTGTGTCTGGTTGATACTAAGTCTTTCGCATATATGTGTTGCACTGGATAAACATGGTGTTGGTTATCTTTGCTCAATTGCGGGCTTGTCTAGTGCCATAGCTAGGTTATTTCGGCTCTTATACAGCTACTGGCTCGATGAGAAGTTGGCTTGGGATGTTCGCTGGGAAGTTGGTCCTGGATCGCCGTCTGAGATTCTGAGGTGGCGTTGAGCCTCGGTTCTGTCCTAGTCTGGCGTCTGGCCAAGGGCTCTGATTGTTTGCGAGTATGTAGGGGGTTGTGGTACAATACAGGAAGGACTAGTATGCTACCGGAGCAAACTATCGCGGTTCACTGCAGTTACTCAGGCTCTGCCAGAGACTCGCTTTACACTGCAGGCCATATTTCGCGATTCGACTCTACCACCACCACAAAGATTCTCTGCTGTACTTCTCCTCGAGCTCGTAGTTCCGTCCGAGTCCCCAGCTGTCGCCGGGCAATTCTTGCACCTGGAGGTCTTCAGGCAGCTCCACCCCCTGAATCGAAAAGTCCCACGATACATGCTGCTCTTGGGGTGCGTCGTTGGCCGCGGAGTTCCCTGCCAACTCGGTAGCCGCCGCCTTGGCCGTTGGCTTTGCCGGCGACTTGAGACTGATCTCGCCGTCGCCATCGCTTTGGTTGACGCTGTCCTTGCCCACTTGGCCAGCCCTCTTCCGGTTCTTCAAGAGCACCAAGAGGCCCAGCGCAATGCCTAGCCCGACTAAAACACACCCTCCAGCGATGCCAGCGACGGCTCCCGTCGATAGTAGCGAAGAAGTGGACCCGCCTCCTTGGGCAGCGCTGGCAGCAGCTGAGATGTCTGACTCGGATGTCTCGGTAGAAGTAAGACTAGCTTCTCCGTTGACACCCGTCGTGATGGTGATCAGGATCCTGTTGGGTGGTGTACCAGAAATCTCAGGCTGCATCCCTGCGATGGTGGGTAAGGGGGCTGTGCCGTTGACAAGCCAGCCAAGTTCGGAATCTTGTGTCGGACAACTAGCCGGTGCCGGGTTCGATGCCGGAGTGTAAGACGCTTCTGGCGTGCCTGCAGGTGCCAGAGTCGCGTTAGATGGACGAGACGCGGTCGTACGGGGCTAGGGCCGTCGGAGAGCCCAAATTCTCGGCGGCGTTTTGGTACTGCACCATCCCCAGGCCGTTGCCCTTCTCGGACCATTCATACACGTTTACGCCCGAAAAGACTTGTTGGAATTTGGAGCTGAACGTTAAAGCGAGCTCGTGGAAACCTCGTGCGCCACCCGATCGGTCTCTGCAGCCGGACTCGGAGACGATGAGCGGGATGGGGAAGTTGCGGTAGCGGTCGTAGAGCTTGTTGTAGTCGTCCTCTGAGCACCCTTCAAAGATATTGAGGCCAAAGATGTCAATAGATTCGCTGGCGTCGCCGTAGCTCAGGTACTGGCCGGTCAACGGCTGGTAGCTGTCTTCGCCTGCGTTGTAGCTCAGGGGTATGGCTCGATAGCCGCGCGAGTCTCGGTATGCCTTGAGGTCTTTGGTTGCGGCCTTGATAAACGGTGCTGCAGCTGTTGAGATTCCTGGACGAGTCTTAGCCGATCGGACTAGTTTGCACCTGATCAAACCCGAGACGACGTACTGCTTCCGTTGATGATCTGCTGAGCAATACCAAATGCCAATACATTGTCGAAAGGAGCAATTGAATCCATACATGCCGTCTACCAAGGGTATTGAGACGCAGTCCACAGGGGTTCTTGCAACTGCAGGTGTCGACCGCGTTAGCTGAGCTCTGGCAGGGAACACCCACAGGAGCTGTGGACACACCGGATTAGTTTGCGGCAGTTCACCCAGATTCAGCCAGACATAGATGCCATGCCTGGCAAACTCTTGCATACAGCCATGGTGGTCTAGCTCCGGGTTGACAGAATAGACGAAGACGGTATTGACTCCCATAGCCTTCATCAGGGCTGCGTCGTTTGAGCATTGTTTGGCATCCGCGAGAGGGTCTAGACGGGATTCACCGGCGGCATAGACTACGACTTGAGAGCATCGCATCTCGGCTGTCAGCGAATCTGTCATGAACCGGAAGAAGGAGTAAGGGGTACAATACCTCTGACGAAGAATTGGTTCCCATCCTCGTCATAGAGCTTTGTGCCCTTGACTCTTATCGACGAAAGACCCAAGGCCGAACCTGACAAGAGAAGCAGCATCAGACATAAGGAGGGCAGGGCGAACATTTTCTTAGCCGCAGCCATAGGGACATGTCGCGAAGGGCTGGGCAATATCTTTGATGTATGGGAACTAGGGATCTAGAACATGAAGATAGTTAAGGTAGGCACCTGAGCAAGAGAAAGAGCAAAAGACAATGCGTTGTGTATTGCACAGCAATACAAGAGGACTCGGGTAAAGCAGAAGATTACTAGTACTCTCAGTCGCGGCGAAGTGCCGGTAGAAGCATTAGTTGATAAGGAATCCGGCGAGATTTGCCAAGTGGAAGACAAATACCTCTCAACGCACTCATCCTTCCCCTGGAAGAGTAGCGTGATATCCGGGTCTGAACCTGGTTCTTGGGTACGAGAGAAACCGTGTCCAAACACTGTGGAAATTCCGACTTGCGAGCCGCCAGCCCAGCAGCCCTCAGTCAAAAGGGGCATTGAGGGCGTGTACCGCCAGTGGTATTTAAAAGGGAGTCGCGAGAAGATTAAGTTACTACCAGTAAGATACAAATTTTAAAAGTATGATTGATCAGGGTGTTTATCACAGTGCTCTTCAAACACATTCTCGGTTGGAAAGAAGCAAAGTCATCCATGATCCACTTGTTGTTCTGCTGTGTAGGCAGATGTTTGCCGCCCAAGGATGGCGTTACAAGTCTGCCTCTCTGCAGTGGTCTTCTATGTTTCTTCTCACAAGCCCCATTTCGAGACAAGATAAAAGATAGGTACCTAGTGAGATGGGTAGTGATACCCGCATTGGATGAATATTTTGATTCGAGTCATGGATGGGTGGCCGATTTCCTGTGAAACATGATATAGTACATCATCTGGCGCCTAGAAGGTGCAGGGGGACATCATATATGATTCCTCGTTTCCAACTAACTTGTGAGCTTATGTCCAGGACCGTGCCTCTGCCTCTTCGCACCGTAAAGGTGTAGTGTTGTTGTTTGTTTAATTTGTTTCTGCTAAAGTTAAGTGTGTGGACTTGCATGACTATGATTAAGGGGTCACTCAGGCTCAGCTCCTGACTGTCCTGAGACTGACTGTTCATATCAGTAAGGCGCTTGAATCTTGGCAAACAAACCAAAACTTCTCATGAAGGTGAAAGCCCGGAGCAGATCTGGACTTGAAGGATAAACCAGGAGCCTGGACACTTGAACTTGAAATTGAATTGATTAAGTCATTAAAGCGACGGAGTTAGGGGCTAGTCAGGGAGAGGTTATAGACACGCTGAATATCAGAAAAAAAGCAGAGCCCCGATAACAACTTCCCAGCAAGGATATCAGCTTCTGTGGCCAAGCGGTAAGGCGTCTCACTCGTAATGAGAAGATCCTCGGTTCGATTCCGAGTAGGAGCAATTTTTTTGCCCTTGCTTTTTTTTTTTTTTTTTTTTTTTTTTTTTTTTTTCGGTTCGATGCCAATCCCCAGGTATGGCAAATATGATGTGAAAAATTTGTTATCCAAATGTCTAACTCACATTTCGGCTGCTAAGCGGCGAGGGAGGGGGTGTATCCGGTTGGACGCTGTCCAGTCGGAGTTCTGGCGGACTTGGTGGATTTAGCTGTCTGCTTCGTTTACGGATAGCACCCGACACTCCAGAAGATCAGTGATGCAATGTGGGCACCGAATACTGCACCAATCCAATGGAGTCAATTATACAACTCCAATACCCTGATAGGGCAAGTTAAGGAGGTAAATATCCTACGTCCATGGCCTGTCCTGGATCGATACCAATCGTATCCAGTCATCCCCTCAACTCAATGTGTTTTTCACCATGCCCAGCAGCGCTCCATTTACATAGCTCGGGCTCCTCCACGCACTCCAGTCGTGATTCAGCAAGCCCCAGGACTCCTCAAAGTCTTGGGTGCCCGACCGGATATAGTAGCTCCCGGAGAGCACCCAGATGAACCACCCGGCCTTCTGCGCGGGCAGGTAGCTCGCCAAGCAACTCGCGTACACACCGCGCCAGGTCCTGTCGTCCATCTGGAAACCGAACTCGGTCATCATGACGGGAAACTTGTTGGTGGCGCTGCTGGTGAGGGCCTGGAAGCCGTTACGGTAGAGGTTGTTCTGCAGCGTGTTGCAGTTGCCAATGCTGTTCTCGTAGTTGTGCAGCTCAAGCACGAGCTTGTTGGCGTAGCCGGGAAAATCGCCGAAACTGAACCGGCCGCTGCCGGGAGTCAGCGCCGTGCCCTGGACGACAGGGGTGAGGGTCGTGTCGTAGTTCATGCCCGACAAGAAGATGAGCAGGTCCGGGTTGCTCTTGTGCACGGCATCGGCGCCCTGGCGCATGTACCCGTACCAGGACTGCCAGTTGTACGCGGACCGGCTGAGCGCCTGGTTGTTGGTCGGCTCGCGCGGCTCATTGCGCAGCCCAATCGATACCAAGGCTCTCCACGACTTGCCGTGCTCGGCCATATACGACAGCCCGCGCACCCAGTTGGCCGTCGAGAAGTACGTGTCGCCCCACCACGTGTTGCCGTCGGTGCCGGAGCAGCACCACATGCCCTTGGAGATGTGGTTGTCCAGATGCACGTAGATTTGCTGCTTTGCCAGCTCCTCTGCCACGGCGTCAAACACCTGCCCGGGAGCGGGTCAGTGTTCAATATTCCGTTCCGGTCTACTCTTCTGTCGGCTCACCTGCAGCCGGGTCGTGGAGGCATTGAACCTGGGGTTCTTTGCCAGGACCTGGTTGAGCACCCTAGTCCCGTTTGCTTGTCCCAGCGCCTGGACGAAAGCCCTTTGAATTGTGATGTCCTGGCCGCCGTTGCTGTAGATCTCGTCGATCATCTGGATGGCAAACGTCAAGCGGACAGCGTTCATGCCTAAACTCTTCACTTTCTGGACGATGGTCTCGATGGACTGATACTGAAGACCCTCGGGGATCATCACGTCATTGTGTCCCGGCCAATTGGTACCGGCATACGTTAGATTCTTGCCTGTCGCGTCGAGGATCCAGCGGCCAGATGTGACGAAGGGCCCGTTTGGCCACACGGCACGTTTAGCCTGCTCATCTTGGACGACATTTGGGCTCGGAGCAGCAGTGCTGAGGCCGGCCAGCACCAGAAGAGCGGCAATGGGTTTCATGGCAGTCGAGAGAGAGCGTTTTCTCTAGGTTTACTCGGCCTCCGCATTCAACCATGGCCGGCGGCTGGAAAGGGGGGGATCAGGGCTAGAAATAGTCCGTAACCCCGGCGGAGGGCAGGTTCCTCAATAGATTGCCCGTCCATATTAAGGGACCCGTCTGTTAACACGGCGGCACGCTGCACTGGAAGCCTCCCGGGCCTGGTGATGCGGAATTGACCTAGTACTCGGGGGTAGATCGTCTCTCTTCTTGGACCTGCATTCTAATTCGAGCGGTTGTCGGAGCCTGTTTTACTGCCCACTTATCCAGGGACAATGCATCGCTCAAGGGAATGCTAGATTCGCTTCGGTTGATGCGGTCGATGCGGTTGGATGTCGAGGTGGGATTGGGAAGGGGAATCAGCCATTATCCAGGGCAGTCTTCAATACTTCGTACTTCGTAGCAGGCAGGCTAATTGCCGGGCTTGGCCCTTGTGACTCTCTCACAGTGTGACTATGACTGAGCGTCGCAAAGGCCCCACTTGCCTTCAACCCACCTTCTGTTGGTGATGTTGAATGCCTCATTTCTCCACGAATTGAGCTTTCCCCTCGGTCGACATACCCGTCGATTTCTGTGTAATAAATTGCTTTCTACGGCTGCATACGACCTTGTCGATATGTGGTGACACAGGTAGGTAGCTATGGACATGGCCACAGCGCGGCGCATCCAATTCATCGCTTCAACTCAACCCGTCGCCCCGCGATGGCAGTTTCCCTCCACCACCCTCGCGCCTCAACGCTTCCCTCCACCCATCCCTCGCTCTCATTTCAGCTCCTCCTCCTAAATTCAACCATCGGACCATTCTTCATGCTGGTAAAGGTGTCGATCAACTGGAACTCACCCACCCGGTGCCTTCCCCATTCAGCCCCTTCCTTCCCTTCACCGGGGTCGACTACGCCCACGGCCTTGCGAAGATCGTACAAGAACAGCACTCTTGCCAGCGTGATGCTCATCTCGACGTACGCCAGCCCCTTACCAATGCACCCCCGGGGGCCGATTGAAAAGGGGCAAAAGGCGCTCTGCGCGAGCGCCACGTCATCCTCAGTTACCCCGGCCTCCTTGTCAACGATCCACCGCTCCGGCCGGTACGCGAAGGGCTCCGGGTAGTAGTCCGTGTGGTGGTGGATGGCGTAGTGCGGGGTGCCGACGACGGTGCCCGCGGGCACGTGTTCGCCGTCGATGGTCATGCCGCCCCCCAGCACCTCGCGCGGCAGCAGCCCGCCTACCGACGGCGACAGGCGCATCGCCTCGTCGATGCACGCCCGCAGGTACGTGCATGAGGTGAGCTGCGCGCCTTGATGGATGTCCTCGATTGAGGAGAAGGTCGAGCGCACCTCAGCGGTGACTTTGGCGAGTGTCGCGGGGTGGCGCACGAGGTAGAACAGAGTTGCGGCCATGGCGGTTGAGGTCGTGTCGGAGCCCGCGATGATTCTGTACAAGGGCGAGAATGGGGTGGTTAGTGCGAGGCTTGCAAGGGCTTGCTTCTCCATACTTGGGGTTGTTGCTTACAAAAGGTTAGATTCGGCCCAGAGCTCGGGGGTCGAGAATCCCTGGCCAGTTTCCGGATCACGAGCGTTGAGCAGGTGGTAGAAGAAGTCCCTGCGGTCGGTCTCGTCGCCGAGGGCGGTCCGCTCAGTGAGCTGGGCACGGCTGTAGGCCATGTACCGGGCTCGTCCGGCGGCGATCTTGTGGAACAGGATCTTGTCGAGGTTGAGCTTGTTGACGATTGGCATGGTGCCACACTGCTAACTGTTAGCCGTCTGTAGGACGTTGCTGATTTCCTGGGAGGGGTCTTACGAGGAGATGGCGTTGCGCCGCGACGCCGACGAGATCAACGGCGTATCGGTTATCCGGACGGTCCAGCATATGGAATGCTTTTCCGAAGCAGAGATCGCCCAAAATGTCCATGGCGAGCCAGTTGCACCAGTCGGACATGTTCTTTGGCGAGCTCCATCCCTTCCTCTCGGGGATGGCCCTACCAAAATCCCCGATGGCTTCGCAGAAGGTTCGGATGTTAGCCAGTATGTAGCGTTCTACCTCCTTAATGGCGCCGTCGGAGAAGGCGTGTGAGAGCACCCGGCGCTTCCGCGCATGCAACTCCTTGTCACGGGTGTTGTGGGTGTTGGGAGCCGGATGCACAAAGGCATCGTAGAATTCTGCCTTGCGTACATTGGCCTTGAAGCCGTATATTGCCTTCAGGGCCGTGTTGGAGTTGACCGAGAGCGAGTTTGGCCCGAAGCGCACGAACTTGCCATACTTTTGGTGCATCCTCCAGAACTCCAAGTGCCGGTCTCCCTTCCAGGCGTAATAGAGCATGTACGCATCCGTGAGCTTAGCCAATAGTGGCCCTGGGTACTTGGCCAGTGGATGCAAGTACAATCGATATACTATAAGACATATTGTCTACAGACCCGTGTCAGTAGGTGTTTGGGCTGGCTGGTCTGCTGCAGCACTTACATAGAGGAACCCAGCTGCTACTGCCAGCCACAGCCAGAGTTGTATGTGTGTAGTGCTAAAAGTCATGGTTGGGTATGGCAGTATGAGGATGATGGAGAGAGCGAGTGATAAGAGATACAACACAAGGAGGAAAACGGTGGTGTAAGTGATCAGGGAACGAGGCAGGGCATGGCTTAAAACATACAAACGTAACGCAACACAGCGCCAGTCATTTTTGAAGCTACTGAGATCTGGCTTCGATTCTCTGACACACTCGGGCCTTTTACACACATATACACTGAGGGGTACTCAGCGTGCTCGAGCTCTTTTGTGAGGAGTGACCTCGGTGTCTTTCTGGCACTCACTAAGCGTCCGAGATCGACTTCGGCTTGCAACGGCATAGGACGTTTGGGCGCTGTTATCGCTTATCGCAGCTGGAGCAGGCCGCATGATGATGTCGACATTCCCCTTTCGGACACGACACCCATGTCCCAGGGACCGTCAAGCACTGCTAGTGGGTATCCGGCAGTGAAAAGACGATGTGCGGAACGAGAGCGGAATGGGCAGTCGAGTTTGGTGACGATGCGGCTTCCTCGGGCTTGACGCGACGGTGTCGCCCCATATTCCAGGACTTGGCTACATATGTGTCGCTGTCCAAGTATGTACAATACAATATAGTGACACTGCAATATGTTCGATCCTTTTCTTCGATCCCTTTCTAGAACCGGGGGACAATACTCCATAAACAAGACAAAGAAATTCGGTGTTCGTTTGCTTTGATCTTGTGATTCCGCTCCTGTTGGTACTCTGGCGCCTGATTCTACTAAGGTATATATCCCAACCGGAATGGGAATTGGTATCCTGTAACGAGATTGCGGGTTATACCGGTAGGCTAAAGCTTAGAGAGGCTGGCAGGCGTCCAACGATGCCATGTTGATCGGATTGAGCCTCAAATTTCATAAACATCGAGTTCGTACTTCGTGGGGCCCCGCACAAAACTAGCGGCAGTTCGGCATGTCACGGCCTTCAGCAAGTTTGCGAACAATGACGGCGGGCCCGCGGCTCCGTGCCACAGCCGGGAGCTCAAGGTGCGTGGGCTCGGCGGGGCACCAGGGACAGAGCCACAGGGCCCTTGTCAAGGTCCCAGTTTAGCTGACCCACGGTGGCTAGACAACTTGGCGCAAAGATCACTTCTGCAAGGCTGTGAAAGGCTGAGAAACGTCGCGACATCATCCAACACGCGTTTGTCGGATTGCACACAACCGCCATGCTTGCTTCTTTTCAATAACTTCATACCTACGGACTGATTCATAACCCAGGCGAGATGACCGTCTGCAAGTTTTGGCTGCAGGGCAATTGCCGCTTTGGAAGTACGAAGGCTGCCTTTTTCCCCGAGTCACAGGTTCCTTGACTCGTTTGCGACGCCAATGGGAATCTCTGCGTCCGTCTCCTGCCTATCACTGTCGAGTCTTCGTGCTGGGCCCACAAGGTTTTCGACACGTGTAGGTGCTGACTGCCGAAATTCCACATCTTCCAGATACCTGCAAATTCGAACATCCCTCGAATTCGAGACCAGGGCTGCAAACGGGGAATCGCTTCGGACCGCTCGCCGGTCAATCGGGACAAGCAATGAGTAGTGGTGGCGGCCAACAAGGAGGTATGGCAGCACGCTGTAACGTTCGCTACACCTCAGCTAACCACGACGGACGCCAGACCCGCCTCCATACCCCGGCCTGACTGCGGAGGCCATCCAGCGCGACCTTACAAGCGAGCTACCGAAATGGATTCTATCATGTTACAGTCCGGCAAAGGATGCACCCGTGCAGCTCTTCGGCGGCTACCCTCGCGAGCAGAGTTTCGAGGAGATACGGCTTCACTACATGCAGGGAGCCATGGCTGGAAATCCTCAAGGCGCTGTCAGTTCTTACACTGCGGGAAACATGTGGTGCAAGTTACTGACATACAACCACGTCTCTGCAGCTGAATGATATTCAAGCTCTGTATCAAAACGCGCAGCAGCAGATCCAGAACGCCCTTGGAAACATCCCAGCAGCGATACAATTTGTGGTGGATGGGGCAAATAAACATCCCAACCGGATCGACATTTGCAAGTCAACATCAGGGGGTGCGGCTGGGAGTGGGTTTGGAAGCACAGCGAACCCCTTCCAGACACAGCAGGCGCCGTCAAACCCTTTTGGCGCTCCTGCGGCCCCGGCTCCAGCTGCAAGTGCCTTCGGACAACCTGCCGCGTTGGGCCAGAGGCCCAGTCCGTTTGGCGCCCCTGCTTTCGGGCAGGCTGCACAACCAGCGGTGCCGGCTTTCGGACAGCCGGCCGGATTAGGCGGCGGATCAGCATTTGGCAGGCCACCGCAAACAAGCAGTGCTTTTGGCCAGACCGGCACGTTGGGGCCGAAGCCGAGCCCCTTTGGCGCTCCGGCTTCTGGGCAGCCAGCGTTTGGACAGCCATCAGCCCCTGGCCAGTCTGCGTTCGGGCAACCTGTTCAGTCAGCTTTTGGACAGACACCTCAGCCTGCACAGTCAGCGTTTGGGCAACCGGCCGCCTTGGGCCCGAAGCCGAGCCCCTTTGGAGCCCTCGCGGCGGGGACCACGCAGCCGACGACTAGTCCGTTTGGCCAGCCGACGCAGCCAGCGCAACAGGCTTCTCCATTTGGCCAGACAGCCATTACTGCCCCGGCTAGCAATCCGTTTGGCCAAGCAACACCTGCTACGAATGCATTCGGGCAACAACCAGCAGCCGCTCAGGTGAACCCCTTTGGGCAACCGCAACAGCAACCGGTAGCCAATCCCTTTGGCGCCCCTGCCGCTACCGCGACAACGAATGTATTCGGACAACCTTCGAATGCCTCACCATTCGGCGCTCCTGCTGCTGCCGCTGCCCCTGGACCTCCCTCGAACCCCTTCGGCCAACCCAGCACTTCTACCCCAGCCTTCGGGGGGAGCGCAGGCACAACAGCTGCTGTCCCAGGGACCGCGAGCCAAGCGTCAGGCGCAGGACCATATGGTCCGGATTCTTCCCGGCGGCACCCGGACCTTTCTGAATACAGCGCAAAAGATCCCGATGGACGTCTCCGCATGTTCAAGGGCAAGCCCGTCTCCTATGAGACACCTAAGGGCGCCGCTAAGCCGGTGCCCTTTATGCGCAATTTTGATGGGAGCCTGGTCAAGATCTGGATGCCGGGCGGAGCGCCCGACTACACAACCGAGAGTGAGGCCGAGCCGGCAAAGTACGATGATCCGCGTGTCATGCAGCAGTGGAAGGCGTTTGTTGAGACAGGCCGGTTTGCCGACGGTATCATGCCGGAGGTTCCGCCCAAAAGGGAATTCTGCACCTGGGACTTTTAGGCCTCAATCTGTTTGGCAGAGGGAGGATGGGGAAATACCGGTTATGGGACGAGAGAGGGAAAATAGACTGAGCGGCATGGTCTGGCGTTTTGGAGTGTATCTGCATCATTGGTGCATGGGAATCACAACTGAATGGCAGCATGTCTGTCAAGCTAGACTTGGAATGTCTTTCTCCCGACCGTCAACTGATGGTTGCTGTTAATAGAGTGTCATAGCCGTGACAGCCTTCCGTGACCCAAACTCGGGTCTCATCCCGCAAACCCACCCCTCGCCATCTTCCTCGCCCGTTGGTCCCTCCGATTATGATTCGCCCGACTCCCCTTGTTAGCCTCCTTCCTCCGCCTTGCAACGTCCGAGTCTGGTGGGGGTGGCGCTCCTCCTCCCCGTCCCCGTCCCCGTCCCCGTCCCCTTCCCCTTCCCCCACGGCCCCGTCCACCCCTCTCAGGCCCACTTCCACGGGGCGTCCCCGCCGCAGTGTCGCTCCCATCACCCGTACCTTCTTCCCCCTCAGCCCCCTCAGCCCCCTCAGCCCCCTCAGACTCCAGTTCTGCCTTCCATGCGCCCCTGGTGCTCTCGAGCAAGGCCTGTTGTTGGCCTGTCCCGGCGGCGGTAATGCCGTCGCCGTACCTGCGCTCCAGCCGCTTGCGGAGGGCCGGGTCGCGGCCGAGCATGAGCGCCCAGCCCTCGACGGCCTCGTCCGTCATGCCGCCAGTCACGTCGCGCAGCCTAGCCCGCTCGGCCGACTTACGCGTGGCATGGTCCCGGTGGAAGGTCTGCGGGCGGGCCTGCCACGTGCGGAACAGCGCCGCTTCGATCTCCTCCGGGAGTCCTCCTGCACCGTTGTTGGTGGTCTGATCTTGGACGAACGACGCGGTCGTGTCCACCGTCCCGCCCACATCGGCCGCGTCGTACGTGTCGTCGCGCTCGTCGTCGTCCGAGTCGAACGCCGCAAGTGCCGAGAGGATCGCTGCTTTTGAGTTCTGCGACGGCCGCGCCGAGAGCAGCGTGTCTGCCGACGCCGGGCCGGCTTTGCCTATGTGTAGCCGGGCGGTTGGCGCGGTGAGGAGGTCGAGGTCGGAATCCTCGGAATCCTGGGGAAGTCGGGATTGCCGCCGAGGCAGCGGGCGGCGAGGTTGAGTGGCGGAAAGTGGGACGGTAGGAGTAGTAGTAGTAGTCGAATGGGCGAGGTCCTCGCTGCGGTCGGCTGATTGAAGATGGGCCGGGAGGGAGCCGTCTAGCAAGTGGGCGACTACCTGTTCGGTGTCGTCCGAGTATTCATCGAGGAGTCTGGAAATGAAACCCGACCCCAGCTCGGGGAATAGGTCCTGCACTTGGGAGATTTGGCTCATTCGGTGGATGTGCATCTCTTGTTGCGCCTGGCCGTTCTCCAGTCTGGCGAGACCCTTGCCCTTGTCAATTTTCCTCTTGATGAAGCGCTTGGGCTTGACCAGCCCTGCGCCCGGCTTTTTGAAGGTTGCTAGTTCTGTTAGGACGGACTTGGTACGGCTCGACATACTGCCGGACTCGTCGAGCTTGCGCCGTAGATGCTGAAGCAGCGGCGTAGATGTTACCAGTTCAGCCACAAGTGAGTCGTTGGCGTTGAGAGGTCCGGATTTGTGTGCCGCGGCCGCGGCTTTGAGCGAGTACAGCTGGTCTGTTAGGGCTGACAGCTTCTGGCCTTCTGCCAAGCCCATGAGGCAGAGGTAGGTTGTTGTGACGAGCGACCGCCTCAGCGGCGGGTTTGTGATCTTATAACAGCTGACAAGCCCATCCACAAAGTCGCTGCCAGTAAGGAAGAATTCGGCGGCCGCGGGAGCGACCCGAATCAAGTCGCTTACCCGCTCCAGCCGTTCCTCGATGCCCTTGAGATCACCACCATTTAGCCCTGCATCGAGATTTTTGACGACGAACTTCTTGAGGTTGGCCAAAGACGCATCCATATATCCCTTCGAACGGTCCGAGAGTCTTGTGAGCAGTCCCTCAGCCTTTCTCCTCCCGTAAACGCGGCTGACGTCCGCAAGAAAATCCCATTGCAACAATTCACTAGGAGGCGATGGTGATTGAAGTAGTCTATCGATGAGCAGGAAGCAGTCTTTGAGCAGTCTCCTGGCTGAGGGGGAAGAGCCTAGGATTGCGACGCCCCTTAGAGCGATTTCGCGAGTGAAAGAGACAAGGAAGGCAGATAAACTTGGGTCCTTGGCCGAGATGGCCAGAAAATCTCCCTGGGAAAGCGATAGATGGCTGTCCACAAGGGCTAGCCATGCGTCGAGGCAGGCAACCCATTCATCAGACCCGAGCTGGTCCCTCCAGGTGGCAACTGGAAAGAGTGCTAGGGGTGGAAGTGCTGAAGAAGCCATGTTGATATTTGATATGCAGTATGCACCTGGACAGGAACGACAGGGGTACAATACCAGCAGTCGACGATTCGAGTCTCGACGGTGGGTGAAAAGAAATAGCAGAGACTACGGGCTATGCCGCGCCAAATTGCCTAGAAGGAAGATGCAACTTTACCAGGAGAATGGAAAATGGTATCTTTTACATTCCCGAGGGCATTGCAAGATTTTATATGGTTTTGATGGCCGCCCTGCTGCTCAAGTCTCTTTCCCCTCGAGGAAGGCTGGAACGCCTCACCGGATGTGTCATTGACCGGGTTCCATTCGGAAGGCAAGATGTGAGCGAGCCACAGCAATTCCATACCTTACCCTAGCCACGCCAGTGGAGAAGCGCCTCATTAGCAAGCGCCACATGCGGGCCAAAACCGAGCCCTTGCCAAGACTGCCCCACCAAAATCGTGCCGCCAAAATTCGATGCGCAAAATGTTGAAAAGTTCTGGATAGAGAAAGCCTTCAACAAACAACCAAAACTCGATCCAGCGTCATCACGGCCTTCATCACTTTGCCGAACCGGTATGTGGTTCTATTGCCTTGAGCATGCTCCTGATGACTTGAATCAAGCCGTGCTGGCATTCTACCCCGGCATTGTGAGCGGTCGCTAACTGCGGGCAGTTGACGATAGCGTTCGAGTCGTGAAGGCACGCACCGTCTCAGCAGCCAATCCACATCTACAACCCTCGATCCTACCAAGACCAGACCGTTAAGATGTCTTACAACAAGCCCGAGAAGGACTTTGGCGAGGCGCCTGTTTGTGTCCCTCTCAACCCGACTACTCTTTGTTCGGGACACACTCGATACCGCGGAGGCTGACCCATGATGCAGAAGGTGCACAAGATCCGCATCACCTTGACCTCGCGCAAGGTGCAGTCGCTGGAGAAGGTCTGCCAGGAACTCATTGAGCGCGCCAAGAACAAGGACCTCCGTGCCAAGGGTCCCGTCCGTCTGCCCACCAAGACACTCAAGATCACTGTACGTTCTCTTCCTGCTCGTCTTTCGTTCTCTCAGAGCGTTCCCTGTATAAGAAGATTGCCTAACCTGCGACGAAATAAAACAGACCCGCAAGACCCCCTGCGGTGAGGGTTCCAAGACGTGGGATGCGTACGAGATGCGGATCCACAAGCGCCTGATTGACCTGACTGCGCCGACCGAGATTGTCAAGCAGATCATCATCAACATTGAGGCTGGTGTCGAGGTTGAGGTCACGATTGCTGCTTAACGAGGACGGCGAGAATTGGGAAGGTTCACACCCCCTTCCGAGGAATGACAAGAGCCGAGAAGTCACAGTGACCGCTGGTCGCTAGTAGATAGTGGTGACAATATAACGGCCTCGGATCAACAGTTTTTGTGCAACTGCTCGTGTGTGACAGCCGCACTGCCTCGGTTGGAATATAGGTTGATAAATATCAGCAGACTGACCCATTGATGCTATGCATTGATCCGAGTAGCTGTAGAAAAGTCTGCCCTGCGCAATTGGCTCTTCCTACTTCGAGTGCGGTACCTGTCTGCACCAAGACTCTATAAGGGGGTTGGTATCAAACCGGCTACCGAAAGCTCCTTCCCCTACGATGTAGGCTCCAGTTCCTCAGCACGCTCATTGGCGTCCTTCTCCTTCCCCTGCGATGTAGGCTCCGGTTCCTCGGCGAGTCTCTGCGCAACTGAAAGACTTTGCTTCACCATACGCTCCTCCTGCTCGAATACAGCCAAGCTATTGTCGTATGTAAGCCGCCCCTCGCGGGCCAACATCTCAGTCACTTTGGCAAGGTAGACCTGTGGTGATATATAGCACCCCTGGAGCCACCTGCTGCCCGTGTCGGCGGCGAACTGGCGCCTCCCGTGCAGGATCCGTCGATTGTCGAAGATGACGCACACGCCAGGTTTCAGCTTCATCTCAACCATGTTCCGCGGGGACTCAACGATCTGCTGGAAGCGCGTCGCCGCCGCCTTCCACCTCCCGAGTTGGGGATCGAATCGGCCAAAGGTTGTCTGGAAAGGCGGCGCCCAATATACCGATCTCGGATACATGTCCTTTGCGGCACCACCTATCGTGGGGTGGCGGTGGAAGTAGTGATGTTCTCCCTTCTGGTAGTAGAATGGGTTCTGGTGGCGTGTGAGGACGTCGTAGTGGAGACTATTGGTGAGCTTCACCTCGTATGCGGCGCGGATGCCATTGCTGAAGAGGGACTCGCCGCCTTCGCAGCTGTTGGCAAGACAATGCAGCAACTGTAGCTTGGGCACAGGGTCGTAGTACAAGAGGTCCTGGTGCAGGCCGAGGAACGCGCTCGTGTAGGCAACGTTTTCGGCCTTGGGTTTGGACTTGACGTCCCACGTGTGGCCGTAGAAGGTGTGCATCAGGATTCCGATCCGCCGTGCGATGCGCTCAACCTCCTGCTCGCGGTCAGGCACGTCGTAGATGAAGATCAGCCCCGTTTCAACCAAGTCCGAGAAGACGCGCCAAAAGGCCTCATCGCTGTTCATCCAGAAATCGTAACTCAAGCTGCAGCGCCCGTCGTTGAGCAATGACTCGTACGTCGTTCTATCCCAGAGTAACCGGCAGCCTGGCTCGTTGGGCACTACGGAACCCCTCGCCTGCTCGTGCACAGCCCACGACTGGACCTCATCGGCCGGGAAGGTCGAGATGTGGTTCTTGCCGCCGCTTAGCTTGTCGTTAGGCCATTCGAGGGTCAGAGAGCCGTCGGCATTGAGCTGCGCATATTTTATTTTTGGGTTGTCCGGCAGATCGGTGGTTGAAAAGTTCTTCTGCCCTGAGTCTGGGTCGACGCATTGTGGGCAGGGGCAGGCATCGCGCAGCCAGAGAGTGGACAGATATCTCGGCGGCCCTGCTTCGAGCGCGAGTTCCAGCCCAAATCGTGTTAACCTGGCGGATGGAATCCAAGGCTCGTCGATCTCCACCTTCCGGAAGGTGCCGATCGCATCAGCGGGTGTGCTGGACGTGAGTTGCCGGGGAGCGCCTGAGAAACGCCGTCCGACCATCCCACCATTATAGCATTGCCAGGGTCGGGCCAAGCCGCGACCCGACAACCTGGTTGCGCAGCGAGCCAGAACAGCTGCTGGGATGGCAGGTAGTGTTGTTCGTTTCATGGCAGGCCGGCTGCGACGATACTGGGAAATTCCTTGGACCTAGGCCGATCAACCAGCGAACTGGCTAGCGTGCGCTGGCTTGTGTGCAACGGTGAGCACTGCCGGACGTAGGAATGCCGGCTCTGCTGAAACGACGACAAGAGGTCCCCGAGTTTTCCCGGTTAAGATAAGATGAGGGCCCGCAATTCCCGAGGTCCCGTCCCGCCTTGGCGGCCGCGGCTTGCTATGGCGTAGGTAGGTCGCGTATTATGTAAGCTAATCCCCGATTTCCCGCAATCATTTGATCTTGGACAACCTGAGCGTCGTGGCAATCAGCTGCAGCCAGGAGCATTAACTGTGACACAAGGAATACTTCGAATACTTGCAGAATTAAGACTTTAACAGACAACGGGCGACTATATGTACGAGAGGGTGTCCCTATATCCAATTCCGTTCACCTGCGAGAGTGCTCTCAAAGTGACCTGCCAGCATTCGACCGACAGCTGCGGCCTTGCCTTGATAGTCGATATCCTCCACCACTTGGAACCACCAACCTTGCCTTCCCATCGATGAACAGTGTCTAACTCAAGGGTTGTAAAACACCTCTTCCATCGGCTTCCACCACGACGGCTCGCCCGATTCGCTATCCTTCGCCCCGGGCACCAGCGATTCCTGCATACCGTCCGTCATCTTCCACCACTCGCGTACCTTTGGGTTTTGCCGCATGCGCTCCATGTCCCCGGCATAGTCGTTCCCGATGTACTTGAAGCTCGCAAAGAGAATTCCTGTTTCTGGGTCATGGAATATGCTATCTGTAGCACAACCACTATGGTATGAATACAATGCCCGAACAACAGGAGGGTCGCCCACGTACAATCCACGATATTACACTCCTTGATTTGCTTCAGGACCTCTGGCCACACTGCAGCGTGAACCTCCTTGTACTTGCCGACGAACTCAGGCTTCAACTTGACGATTTGCGCCAAGCGGCGGCCTGAACGGGCAGAGCTTGTTGGCGACCATAGCTGAGACATGACGAGACCGAGGTCGAGCGAAAGAATGAGGTTGGGCGAAGCGTCATAGATTGTGGACAGGCAGATTTGAAGTAGGAGCCCCTCTCCGAATCTCGGCAATGGGGTGAACTAGACTCGCACTCGGGTTGCACGAGATGAACTACCGGTGGGGCGGGAATAATTCAACGCTATCGTTAGTTCGTTACGCTGCGGTTTATCCCCCAATCACCTCAGCCGCTGGACGGTACCCGACTCTTCCATGCACGTGGTGCAAACGCGCGTTACAGAGTACTCGACTGCAAAATAGCTGTCATATAACAAGGGGTACATGGTAGAAGCGCGCCTAGGTACCTAGTCGGTATCACGGCTGCATTATCATTTTCCAACATCTGTCATCGGCTGCTATCAGGCGGGAGAGGGGAGGAAGAACGGCAATCGGACACCTGCTTGTGTCGTTCCTGCTTGCTTCAGGCGGCTGGCGTCTCAACTGCCTAGCGGTGCCTGCCATTCATGGACTCTGGGGGCAAATGCCTGGATTCTTAAGGTACACAGTTGATTCCAGTTAGGACCAACTGTTCACATGGCGTTACGGTTGTCATGCCGGCCAAAAGGACCTACAAGTGTGCTCCTACGCCCGCTTCCATGCTGCCAGTTACCGACGGAACCCCCCTTGCAGGATGTTCCTTCGAAACCGGCATCGGCCGCTTTTGCTCACACCGTTGCCTTCTTCCCGCCTTCATTTCGGCCCAATTGCAACCAAACCCCCCTCGGCCACTGTTCTGAACGTGTCGCTCAGCCCACGCCAGCGCCGTCCTTACAAGTACGGCAATTGATAGTTTGGCGCGCACCTGGGATCAAGGCCCTGGCCCCGGTGATCCGCCGGAATATGTACCGCTCGAAGGAACAGAAGACCCATCCAAGTATCGGCCCCGCGGTACCATCCGATTTCCATCGGCGATGTTCTTGTGGATAGATACACCGTTGTCCACAAGTTGGGCTATGGTGGTTGGTCAACCATCTGGTTGGCCCGAGATGCGGCACTTGGACGATATGTCGCGATCAAGATTGCGCTCGCCGACGCCGGATCCCGTGAAATCGAGATGCTAAGAGAATTAGCTTCCCATCCAGCCGCTTGGACTACCCATCGTATCTGCCAATCCGCCGTCCCCGAGGTCATTGACAATTTCACGATACACGGCCCTAACGGGACTCACAGCGCCATCGTCACCTGCCCCGCCATGGTATCTGTTGCGAAGGCAAAGGAGGGCTCGGACCTGGGAGTGTTCCAGCTGCCCGTAGCTCGTGCGATTGCTGCCCAGCTCGCCCTCGCCGTAGCGTATGTGCATAGTCGTGGGATAGTCCACGGTGGTGAGTAGTCGAAGTTGCTCGCCAATTACCCACTTGGGGCCTTAAACTGAAATGAGTCTCCAAATCTCCACACGGGCAACATCCTTCTTCACCCGACCACTGCTCTCAATTCTCTTTCTCCCGATCAGCTCTACCAGCGATACGGCAAGCCAGAGCTACAGCCGGTCCAGTGCCTTGATGGCAGGGCGCTTCCCAAAGGTGTGCCCACATATTGCTATATGCCGGTTTGGCTTGGACGTCCGAGCGAAGAGGTTTCTCTTCGGGAATCCAGGATCTTACTCACCGACTTTGGGGTTGCATTCAAGCCCTCAGAAGAGTGCCGGACTTCTTATCCTATCCCCTTGATGTTGACCCCACCAGAGAAGCAATTCCTCCCTGACAAGCCTGTCTCATTTCCATCCGATATATGGTCTCTTGCCTGTACAATATGGTCAATCATTGCGCCGGGAGACTTGTTTGCAGCGTACTGGGAGAACCTGTTAATCTATGACTATACCGAGGTCTTGGGCAAGCTGCCCACCGAATGGTGGGAGCGCTGGCACGGACGAACTGAATGGTTTGACGAGAATGGCAATATAAAAGACGAAGATGAACCCCCGAAGACGTTAGCTGATCGCCTAGAGGAGTATATACAGAAGCCAAGAGAAAGGGTGGGGATGGAGACAATGGGGTACGAAGAGAAGGAGGCTTTCCTTTGCCTTCTCTGGTCGATGCTGAAGTACTTGCCGAGTGAAAGGATTTCAGCTGACGAGGTTTTAGAGTCAGAATGGATGCGTAGGTGGGCAATCCCTGAACTCGATAGAGCTGGAACTGAAGGTGATAGCGACACAGACAACTCGGGGTTGGATATTGAACGGAGGCCCTAGGAACATATCCGGGAATCAGATGAGATGAAATTAGGACGGGAGTATGAGTCGATTCCAAGTTCATCTTCACAACGTAACATAACGAAGCAAGAAAGCTAGACTTCCTTCGAAAGGTCTGTACTGACCCTTGTTGCTCGCAGCCACCTTACTGAGAACGCGCCGAGCTTAGTTGCTGCGAGGAGAGAAACTCTCAGTCTGCTGACGTCATAGCTGATCAGCTCATACATGATACGGGCCATTTCTTGATCGTTATTTGCACAACACAGCCATCTATACAGTCAACATTATACAGTCAAAGCACAGCAACCTAGCCCAAGCGCTCAAAAGATGAATCCAAACCCGCTCTCGGATCGCGAAAAGGCGATGGAAAACCAATGGATTAAGGAAAAGGAGTAAGACTCTCACAAATAGACAGTCCCACTGATAGCTGAGACACTCCCTGACGAACGCTTCGGCAACCGCTGACTGGGTCAGGAAACGGATGGCAAAGGAGATGGCTGCCAAAACGCAGGCCACCAGAGATGCGGGGTCCAGCAGCACAGGACAGCAGCAAGCAAGCCAGGAACAAAAGTGAGGTTGTCAAGGACCAGGAAAAGAAGCCCACAGTCGCCTTGTTGATAGCACGATCGATAAAACGTGATTGCACAAGAAGGCCAAGGTATAGATAACCAACAGATCACAGTACTTCGAGGGAAAGCATCGGTTGTCTCCAGAACCCTGGCTGTATTCAGTACGTGACAGGACGTGCAATGGACCATGTTCAAGTTGTGAACCTGCGATTGCGGCATAGCCGTCACTTAGAATCTCTATTATGACTGTCACAGAGGGTCAAGCGCGCAAGCTACTGTGAAGTAAGTCCCTCAGAATTCAAAGATACATCAACTAAATCTCGTGCTAAACCATGCAGAATCCTATACCCCTTGTTACTCGATGTAGACTGCAAGCACATGCGCCGAGTCTTGAAATGTTGCCCCCCTTTTTCGACTTTCCGGCATACGCCGCGCTCGGCGGGTAAGGTAGGTAATTAGTACCTACTAGCAGCTATTCACCTTCCGAGTCAAGATCGACTTGACCCAGAGTCGAGGCCAAATCATCCACCATTTTGTTGGACCTTACTCCCGTACCACTACCTGAGTCTTCACCACCCTCACGGATGGGTGACAGACTAGTACTACTAGTAGCACCCTCCAGATACCTCATCGCCTCCGACCCGACCCCGTCGTAGCGGTACTGCGCGCTAAAAGGAAACGACGTGGTCGTGTTGGAGTCGTAGCGCTTGCCGCCAACAACCAGCCGACTGACAATGGTCTGGATCGCCTGCTGCTTGATGCTGGCGACCATGGACTCGAGGATCTCCTTGCGCGCCTGCTCGGCTTGCTGGCCGTCCTCGCGGTACAGGTCGGGCACGCGCCAGTTGTAGTACAGGTTCTGGTGCGACTTGCGCACGTCCATGTCCGGGCCTTTGGGAGCGTGGAAGTACAGGTCGCAGAGACGACAGGTCGGCTTGCTGCTGCCAATGTAGCGGCCAAAGACGCTCTCGTTGAAGAAGCGCACCCTTGCCGAGCCTCCACCATCGGTCGGATTCGAGCAGCGCTCCTCGCGCTGGATGTGGTCGCTCAGGTTGACCTCGGCGTGCACGATTGGTCGGAAATTGCTGGGCTTCTTTTTCTTCTGGATCTCCTTGTCCAGGCCGAGCTCCTGAAGGCGCGGTTCGTGCTCGCGGAAGGCCTTGTGCACGCTAGGATCTCTGGTCAGGCGCTCGACCATACGGGCGGCAGACCCCCTGAAGGAGGGCATGTCGGTGCTGGGCTCGCTGGAGGGAATATATGTCACTTCGAAGGCTTCGAAAAGTTCCGGCCAGCGGACGCGGGCCGAAATGAAGACCTTTGCGGCGACTGTGTACGAGTCTGAGTGTATTTGTCAGTCAGGAGAGACCGGAGGGGGTCAATATCGGCTGGGAGATAGCAGGGGATATCACATACGTAGACGGCCGAGGAAATGGGACAACTCGGACCAGCGGCTTTCATTGGACTGCTCCCGATCCTCGCGGGTCCTCTCTCTCATGAAGTCTTTGAACGTTTCATCGTCGTAGAGTCGACTGATGGCTTGTAGCAGGGCGTGGCCTCGCGGGATGACTGGTTGTGTTCATGTTGTCAGCGTATTCTGTACTCTGTGAACATAGAGTGTAACCAGGATGGTTGAATCTCACATTTATCGCTACTCAAGTTCTTCTCAGCTGCACGACTCGCGGGAACTTGCAATGTTTGTAGGCTTTGAGAGAAGGACGGGTCTGTTTAAACGTTGAAAGTCCAACCGTTAGCTGAAACTAGTAACTTAAGAGTCTCAGTCATTAAGGGGTTCCAGCTCAGGGGCACATGCCTATAGTGGCGGAGGTATCGACACAGAATTCAAGGTGCTTCAAGAGACAGCGAATGTAGACCTCGATCCGGGGACGATTAAATCCCAGGACCTTGCCCAGTATCTGGAAAGTCATGACCGCCCGCTTGTTCGTGTCAGAGAAGGCGGTAGCCGGGGCCTTGCCAAGGGGTCTAAGCAGGTCGGTGACAAAGCGGCACACTTCAACTAGACTTTGGCTGCTCCGCCTGTTTGATGCGAACCGATACTCGACGTCTCCTGGCTGCAACACTGCGAAGGCGGTGACGGTGTCGCCGCCACGCTGGTTGTCACAGACCATGCTCAGTTTATTCACGAAGCAGCGAAAAGCGTCCTTCGGATCCTTGTCAGCGACACCCTCCAAGTCAGGTCTGGACCGTGCCCCTGTGCCGTCTCCCATGAGAACCGATCGAAGGCAATAGAGCAGGAGAAGAGGCTCCCAGAAGCGCCAGGAGCCCAGATTACCAGCCAGTGGCACAATGTTGGAATCCGAGACTGCCATTTTTTTGTGAACTGAGTGATTGATGTTGAATTACCTTAGACAAGAAATGATGTGGATGGGACTGTGCACATGTGTCGCGATGAGGGCAAGAGCCTGAGGGGGAGAGTATTTGATTCTACATCTGTCTAGCAGGGAGTATAAATGTCTTCCGGAACTTTCAGGCATTTTCACAGAACCAGTAACATGAGAACGTCAATGCGAATCTGCTGGGAGGCTTAACGATACGTCGTGGCGGAGGCAGCGTCATGTATGCCTCTTCACATGTTCGCGTTACACAAGAGAAGGGGCTGATGAACTGGCAGGGAACTGCCATCAGGGAGGCAGCAAGGCAACGCTACTTCTTCCAATGGATTCCCTGCCCTTTTCCGGGAGACGCGCATTCTGAGTATGAACATGGTATGCCTTCTTGAATCAAACATTGCTGCCATGCCAAGTCAGCAATGGGAGGCATACCACGCTCGGTGAGTCCTGCGCTTTCATGCCTCTTACACGTCGGTTTAGTGACAGAAGCGTGGGTAGATAAAACTGATATAATGGCAGGCAGCTAATTGGGCCGGTTTCCAGTCCAGGGATAATATCATTGATGCTTAGGTCACCAACACCCTCAGCATCATCATACACAGCGGGCTGTGGGCCTCACCTCGTGGGTCTCACTTGAGTCACTTCGCGGGCCTCACGTCGGGCCTCAGTTTCCAAGTCTAGAGTCCAGTAAGCTTGTCTTGACTCGAGGTGGCTAGTAGTAGGTCTTGAGCTGTCATGCCAGGCTCCAAGGCGATCAAGGATGCCTCCAGCCTGCTCCCAACTACCGATGAAGCTGTTGGCGAGCTCAAGTCGGCTAGTATTTGAACCCCAATGTTTGCCGTAATGATCCAAGCGCAGTGATCGTACCCCCTACCCACATCTTAGTTAGGGCTCCAAGTTAAAGCGTCCTTGAACCGCCACGTCCAATCTCTTAGTGATTCATTTGCAGGGAATTTGGTCGGGCACCCAGACCTGATCCATTCTTGGCAGTATAGGGCTTGTGACGACATGGAGGAGAGCACTGTCTAATCGCCTTAGCATCTGTGAAAGCACACCAAGCCGTTGGACCGTGGACCGTCCTGCAGGACCCCTACCACCACCGTCGAAACCGCTGTCGAGACCACTCTGAGAGCTCTGAAGGGTCCGTCATACCGCTAGTAAAGGCAGACTTTTAGTAACTGAGTCTTCCTTCGACATCCAATACGCAAAACAAGGTTGTGCACACCCTGACAGAAACCCCTGAGAAGACGCAGTGCCACATTCGGGCCTGATTTCACAACACTCCGGTTTCGACTCATATTGTAGCACCCTCAAATCGCAAAGTCGCTTTTGGGCACCAACGGCTTGCGGTCACTTGACAATTAAGGGGCGGGCCTCATTGCTTTGGCGCTTCCCAATATGCCTCGACATGCATCCTCGGGAAGAAGGCACAGAGGCGGCTCAGGGGAAACCCACGCATTCACAGGACGCCACCCCGGCAACGATTACTGCAATCCAGGAGATGACGGGACCATTGACCCACGGCTTTTGACCACCAGCCACACTACATTCGATGCATATTCCGCCCCTACCACGTTCGAGCAGACGGTGATAAGTACAACGCCACTGCCCTCTTCAATTTCTGGCGTGGATCCGCCGTCTTTGCTTTACAACCACAACGAACACTGCTATCATCAACAAGAATCTGGTCAGCATCAGTACGCGTATACCCAAGTTTCGGGGGTCGCTGGTTTTGCGCAAGGGTCATAGACTCCTTGCCTCCCAGCCGACATGACAACCCCCAATCCAGACAATACGGCCCCTGAAGCCGACCTTCCTACCGGTTTTTCGCATCTTAGCTTATCTACGGCCGCCTCTGGAGCCGGGACAGACTCGACGTTCTACAACACCTCATCCTCGCTGTGGGCGGCCGGGGCTTCCTCCTCTTACCCATATGTTGACCCTGCAACTGTATATGTGGATCCTCAGTCGCATCCCCAAAATTCCTCCTATCTTGCCGCTCAGGTCGGAGACCAGCAAACCGCCATCGACCTCGGGGAATACGGCGCTGATGACACTGCCGGGCCTTCCCAGCCTTACGGACAGTCCCATGACGGCAACGACAACGCCGGATCATCATCTGATAAGGGTTTTGTTTGTACGCATCAGGGCTGTGGAAAAGCCTATCGTCGACAGTGTGATCTCAAGTGAGTACTACCTGGAGTTTTGTTTGCACCCTGATCATTCCAGAAACGGCTCCGCTTAGACGCAGAGAGGCTGACGGTTGCCTGTACTTCAGTAAACACTATCACAACCACGAAAAGCGGCGAGAATGCAAGATTTGCAAAGTAGGCGTCGGCGCGGAAACAAAAGACCTAATCCGGCACATGTGGACACACCATCCCGACGAGGCCAGGGGGGAGAATCTGCCGAGGCAGGACGAGCAGTGCGAGGAGTGTGACTACAAAGGTCGGAAGGACAACTTGAAGCGTCACAAGGATAAGAAGCATAAGAAATGATGGATAGGTATTTTCCGGTTGTCATCGATGTCTGGTCACATTCATTGTTATTTTCCAAGGGGGTTTTATTTACCCCTGTTGCGTATACTTCTTCTCGCTATATCTCTTCATGTTGTTTCGCGTCGGTCACTTCACTTCCCCGATTTCACCCTATCACGCCACGTCACCATTTCTACTTTCAATACTTGTTCTACTTAAGCCCCCTGCTGCTCTAGATTACTTCTACTTGCTTTCTTCTCTTCTCTCTCTGACGACGTTACGACTCAACTTTTTTCTAGTTTACTGCTTACCTGCCTACCTTAGTCATGGCGTCTTCTCTGTTACTCTCGTGCGGTGCACCGTCGTTCAGTTCAATATACGACAATACCCCTTTTCGTCGAGAAGTTTGAGAAGTCTGTGCGCGTGTGTTTGGAGTACAAAATTGGCCCTATACCTAGTTGTTTCTAAGCATCCGGTAACTATGTACCCTCGACCTAGGTACCTGCCTACATATAGGTCTCCCCCCTGTTTCCTGGAATATGTTCAGACATAAGTTCGGTACAAACATCCCTCGTACCTACATTAGGCACCTATGCAGCTTGGGAGAGACTCTACCAAACTTTTGTCGGGTTCCGGTCATTCACAGTCTCACAATGAAATGGAAACGCGCGCCCGCCTAGATTGATGGCGAGTTCGACAGCATGAACCGGCACGGAGACAACACAGTCCCACGGGCTGACCACTCCCGTTCGCAATTGAACATCAATCTTGGAATATACAGAAAGGACAGAATAGGTATGATGATGATGAGAACCCAGAGCACGGATTTGCTTGATGGTCTGAATTGTGAAGCCACAGCCCCGGGGCCATCTTGGAAATCGGATTACCCCTGAGTCAGAAGTGATTTGCAGCGGTTATGTTGCCTTGGCAGGGACCAATCCGGCAAGCTCGTTTGTAATGAATGGATGGGTGACACAGATCCCCGGATATACGGCCTCGAAAGACGGCCCGCGGCCCGGGATCTGAAGCAACTCAAACGCTACGGCGCAGCAGACCACATGGCCTGCGACTCACGGTCACTTTACCCTCCGGCCCGGGGCTGGCCGATCAACGGGCCCCGAAAACACGTGCAACATGCTCATGTCAGCCGCACCCCAATTTCGAGCCTGGTCATGGATGGAGATCAGTGATCGCTCTCGGAGGACAACGCCGGGCATGTTTCGCTAACCGGCGATCAAGATGCCGAGCTCTTCCCTCTTCTTTGCTTTTTGGCAAAGGCAGAAAGGCGAGCTAAACGTCGTAGTATTTGTTGCACTCATGTCCCACCTGGTCCCGACCTTTCGTCCTCAGCTATCATCCATCCATATTCCATCCATGTCCTCATGCTTATTGATGTTAACGACAACTTCAGACAACCGCATGAAGGATTTATACTATCACCTCACACTCAACGCTACCATCATAATATTACCTACCCGACATCACCTTAAATCTTAAACCATAAACATACTAGTAATCAACCGGTCCACCACCACCACCATCACCGTCACCACAATGCCATCCTCAACATCATCATCCCGATCATCCTCCTCCCAATCATCCCACTTCCGCCGCAGATCTCCCGCGCGCCGCCTGATGGCCCGGCGGCTGGGCTTCGCCACAGTCCGCGAGTTCGAGCACTGGGAGGAGGAGAACGTGCTCGACCACTTTGCCAACTTTGTCTGCGACTACCTGGGGCACGGGTACACGGTTGTGCCAGAGAAGAAGGGATTCGTGGAGTTTGTCGACCTGGACGATGCCGTCGCCGCCCGGATCCAGGTTTTGGAAGAGAGGAGGTTCGAGCTGGCGCTTGCGCCGGATAAGACGGAATGCAAGTATCCTTCTAATACTTCTCTGCTTTCTTTTTTAGGCCAATGGGATGACCACTCCTGGGGCGGAAAGTGCTGACGACTGGACACGTGTAGGGACCGCAAAGGACCACTATAAGCAGTTCATTGTCGGAGTGGTGGCGGATGAGTTGTGGATGGCGAACCACGGGATTGCAAAGGCCGAGGTGTCGGCCAGAGGCTGGTCGGCAAAGGAGCTGACGATTAATATGTACAAGCTGTTAGAACTTCTGATCCAGGAGTGGATGTCTGGGACGTGGCAAGTTGGCCACCGGGTAAAGTTTCGAGGGTAGGATCAACGACCTCATGTTCTTGGGTATGCACAAGACATCGGAGTTGTGGCGTTAGGGCATGGAGTAAAGAAGTACTAGAACGGCCAAAACGGGATGCATCGAAGGAGGCGTCAAGCGGGCGTGAGTTTGATATACCTCCAAGCTGCCTATAAATAGCGTTCGACAGGCTGCTGTTAGGACAATATAGCGATACCATCATGATGGCGTGTGAACAGATTGGTTTCTTCTCGGTTGCGCTTTTCGATGACGGAGATAATCCAGTTCTTGGAGAGGATGCCCCTGGCATGCCACTAATCCTACATGTAGAAGGGTATCAGTGAATTGATATAACGGTAAGCGCAAGAATCAACCCCCTTTTCAGTCTAGTACGTACACTATCAAGACAACACTGGTTGCCTCAAAACCCGACTACGAGCGCGCCAACCGCTAGTCCAAGACCAACACCGGCCCCGGCCAGTCCTACGCATCTCGCCGGTGCAACACCGCCGTTGCTTGAAGACGCACCTCCCACGCTGCTGGCAGCGCTCCCGGAAACCGTAGCAGTACCAGCACTGGTTGGCTGAGTAGATGTCACAGGGCAGCTAGCCGTGCATGGTAGGTTGGAAGTGAAAGGTGTCGGAACGGACGTTCCCGTCGCCGTGGCACCCATGAGTGTGAAAGCTGGTGGTTGGGCAGTTGTGTTCAAGTTCGGGAGTGCCGCCTCCAGGTCGGGATTCAACACATTGTCGATCATGTGTACCAGCCCGTTTGAGAGAAGGATATCGGTCTGAATAATCTCGGCCGCGTTGACATAGACGTAGTTGTTGTGGCGGGTGATGAGCAGCTGGCCGCTTTCGGCCGTCGTCAGAGAGCTCGCATTCTTCAGCTCCCAGATGTGAGACACGTTGCCAGGGACAAGGTGGTATCTGAGGATGCGCTTGAGCTTCTCCGCGTCCATGCCCTCAAAGACCCCGGACAGCTGCTGGAAGGCAGCGTTGTGTGGCGCGAAAATTGTGACTTCTTCCTCCCTGGCAACTTCGCTCATCAGACCGCTCACGTACAGGGCGCCGAGAAAGGCCGTGAGGTCGGTGTAGGCATTGCGGGCCGTAGATTCTAGCGGCTCCGGAACGCGCATCACCGAGTCGATCACCTGGACGAGCCCCTTATCGAATGCGAGGTCCTCGACCACAACCGTGCCCCTCGTGGCAAATCCTGACGTGAGCACCACTTCACCCCCGGGTTGCTTGGTTAAGATTAGACGCTGCCCGCCTTTGACGGTTGAGAAATCCGAGTCATTTAGCGTTGTAGACGCCCAGATGGAGTCACCCTTGACCACGGAAGTCATCGAGAGATATTTCGTCAGGATATGGTACTTTAAAGTTGCCTCCACCGTGCTCTCATTGAAAGACGGCCAGTCCCCAAGCTTCCTGAAGGCATTGTCGTTCGGAGCGATGATCTAGAGTCAAGTCAACACGGCAGGTTCCTGACCGGATTCCGGTTTTTCAGGAGATACTGAGATAGAGAACCTACCGTAACCTCATCCGGAAGATTTGCAAAGATGGCAGAGTGGTTCTTAACTAAGCCACTGAATGTTGTAAGATTTGCCTGGCCAGCAAGCACCGTCTCCAAATCAACAGCCCCAACGAATGAGGGAGCAGGAAGAAAGGCGCAGATGACGGTCAATGACAATAACGCAGGAGCAATGCTAGGCGACCGAAAAAGGAGTGACATTGGGAACATGTTGAAGCGAAGTCAGGATGCAGAATCGGTACATTAAGCAAACTTGAGCTTTTGCGCGCCGTTGTTGACGGGATGGTGTCGATTTGAACTGAGGGTCCGGTTGGCGACTGGACGCTCTGAGCTGACGTTAGGGAGAGACACTCGACGCGGTCCTGACCAACGCGAAAAACGAAGGTGAGCAACCAAGAGAGGTTACAAGCTGAAGTCTGGGCTTGCATCTTGTTTGCGGCCGCTTTCATATTCGATCCTACCAAGCCACCACCCTGCAGACGGCGAGAGCCGGACGCTGAGTATGACCTGAAATGTGAAATTGAAATTGGATGGCCCAAGGTGGGAATGGCTTCAATTGAGAGGATGCCAAGCGATGTTCTCACTGGCCGATGCTCCAAGCTCCAGCTGCGTTGGCGCCATCTGAACCCTTGCTCCCCACCATCTCTTCCGTTGGAATGTGGCGTAAATTACTGATCGCTAAGCAATTCGAGCAAGGCTGCAGGTCCCTGCAACCCTCTTTTTTGCTCGTTCAGCCGGTTCAGCACGTCGATGTGCCGATTCTCGAACCCTAAACGCTGCCGGCCCGTTGGACCGGGTTGTCATGCTCCGTAAGGTATGTACAGTACATTACCTTGGTCCATATGATAACTCCACAGCAGTTACCAGGATTTACACTATGAGGTTGAGAGAGGAGTGTAGCTGCTCGTCTGCTATAATTGTCAATACATAGGTACTGTATGTACATACATATTCAGGAGTAGGTTTGCAACTCTCTTTGTCCCATCTGCAGAGCAAAGTAAAAAAATCTACAATTAGCTGGAAACCGCCCTTATCCGTAGGTAGATGTAAATTTCTTGTATGTAACGTTATGTACAATACGGAGTAGTCCGAATACATATACTGTACAGTACTCACTTACGACTGTACGAAGTATCCGTACCTGGCTGTCAAGACAAGGAACCCTACCCGGGCACAGATACCGGTGGGAATCTCGCTTTTCAGATGCAGCTCCGGATGGGAAACAAATGGAATTCGATCAATCACCATTTGTGAGGGGTTTGCAAATCCAACCAATAGCCCTTCATCGCTGAGCCGTCATCGGATCACCGTACTTGTGCCTTACGCTACCTACCTGACTGTCTCATGACGCTCATCGCTCAAGAATCAAGACCCAATGGCACCGTTGCATCGAGAAATTTCTGTTGCTTTGGTGTCTTGTGGACGGTTCCAACAGTCAAGAAGCTCAAGCTGTTGTTGCCTAAGCTACATACATACAAATGATTTGCACTTTTGATAATGCAAATTCGCTTTGTGCCATCAGTTCTCCGTCAAGTTGTAAATCTTTTGGATATCCCGCAGGATGCCTTCAAAATCAATCTTCAGGTCTTTCAGCAGCCCATCCTGGAACCCAAACACCCAACCATGCACGACAGGGAACTTGTTCCGAGCGAACGACTGCTGCACGCACGCCGTCTTGATCACGTTGCGGCATTGCTCGACGACGTTGAGCTCAACCAGGCGGTTGTAGCGCGCTTCCTCGTCCTGGATGGCGTCGAGCTCCTTCTCGTGCAGCCGGTAGACGTCGCGGATGTTGCGCAACCAGGGGTTGAGGATGCCCAGGTCCTTGGCCGTCATGGCGGCCTTGACGCCTCCGCAGCCGTAGTGGCCGCAGACGACAATGTGCTTGACCTTGAGGTGCTCCACGGCGTAGGTGATGACGCTCATGGCGTTCAGGTCCGTGTTGCACACCAGGTTGGCAATGTTGCGGTGCACAAAGGCGTCGCCGGGCTCGAGCCCCGTAATCTGCTCGGCGGGGATGCGCGAGTCGCTGCATCCGATCCAGAGGTATTCCGGGTTCTGCCCCGCCGAGAGGTTGGCAAAGAACTCTGGGTCTTTGGCCTTCTTTTCGGCGGCCCAGGCGCGGTTTTTCTCGAAGACGCTGTCATGCGTCTGGCGCAGGTATTTGGTGATGTCCTGTTCGGCCATGGCGCGCCAGTCGTTGCTCCGTATGCTGCGTTGTTGGGAGGAAGAGGCGGGCGAGGAACTTGAAGAAGAGATGGCTCGCGTCAGGGGCTGGATCTGGAGTTTTGGTGCTGGTGGTAGCGATCTCGGAATTGTGCGTCGAGAGAGGGACCGCAGCAATATCGGACCTCCGACACGTGCGCTGAGCATGGCCGGCCCCTTCTTCAACTTGGTAGATAAGGTAGATACATGAAAGGTAAGGAATGTTGGGTGGATTCACCAGTCGTCCGCGGAGTCAAAGATTCCTGACGTAAATGGGATCAAGGCGCGCTAAGAAATTCGACCGACTACCTCAGTACATACCATAACCCGGACACACTCCAGGTTTAGAACCCCAGAGCGTTTAAGGCTCACGCTACAATACCAGCTCAAGCTTGTAAACATGGATTCGCTAGATATAAAAGTGTCCCTGAGAATTTTTATTCTTGTCGAGCCCTGGGATCCAAACCAACAACAGGTTGCCCCAACAAATTTTCTGTATCTCAATAAGGTGGAACGTGGGGTCGTCTCCATGTCCGGGCCGGCCTTGGCATCGCATTAGTGTAGCGCCATCTCCTGTCCACCATCTGGGGAGAACTTCGAAGAATCTCCAGGAACTCAACAACAGGGGGACAAATACGTGCATATCTTGACCTACATATTAGCATTCAACGTTACTCAAATAACGCTGTAGCCCAACGATGAGTCCTAGGCATCATTAGCGTATCGTATGTCCAATTCAAGGCAGGCAGGCGCCAGGCACGAGCTAGTAATTAGCCCTAGTCCAGATAAGCGCGTACCGTACGGTAATTACGAGAATACTTTTGTACCGTACACAATACGGAGTACATACACCATGGATCATTACTGATTACCCCTGAGGGGGTTTCAGCCCTGCGAACTCTGGGAATGTCGGACAAGGTCAGTCAACACCAACCTTAACTGCCATCCCTCAGACGCTCACCTACATACAGCAACGAAACATCAAGAAACCTCCATTCATGATAACCTTTTCATTGACAAAGCCTAGAGAGGAAGCGCTTTTAGCAGGTTGAGCAGTCCCCAAATCATACATATACTACAAGGAAAGCCATATTCGTTCCCCAAATCCAAGAATTCCGACGGAGCCCACCTCCACATCAAACTCCTGACTCCTACTCTGCAACCGCGCCCCAAACACCAAACACCACCATCAATGCCATGCCCTGCCTACTGCTTTCTGCCTCGCAACACTGTGTCTGCCATATCACGACACAGCTTCATAATGCTCGCTCCGCTCAGGATCTTCATAACAGCCACGTCCAGGGCCAGGCTTTTCCAGATCCATGAGCGAATCTCCACCGCGGCAAGCGAATCAACCCCAACCTCGACAGGACTGTGATCGCCCGTCACGCTCCCTTCCGCCAATTGCAGCTTGCTCTGCAGCCACTCAATAAAACCCTTGACCAACACCTCAACAATCTCCTCCCTCGAAGCCGCCGCATCAACAAGCTCCTTCAACCCGCGCTGCTGCGAGGCACCCTGAGCCCCAGCCATTGCCTGGTTGCCCGCATCATCCTCCAGCCGGCTGAAATGTGAGAAGCGAGGATCAAAGTGCCAGTGTAGGGTGGGATTGCCCGCGTCAAACCGGCGCAGGCCGGTGGTAATGTCGTAGACCTGACCGGGTTCCGGTCTGCCGGCAACGATGGCCTCAACAAACATGTGGTGGATATCGCGTTCCGAGATGGGCGGGTAGCCCTCGCGCTCAAGGCCCTCGTACAGGACGTCCCGCTCGCGGTGCAGGAAGCCCAGGCCGTAGATGACGCCGATGTTGAGGACGGACCCCGGCAAACCCCGACGGCGCCGCGACGCGGCAAGCCCGTTCATGTACATGTTGGCCGCGGCATAGTTGGACTGGCCCGCGTGGCCGCCGATAGCTGCGAAGGAGGACGTCATGATGAAAAATTCCATGTCTGGGCTGTTGAAGACCTGGTCGAGATTGGAGGAGCCGACAGTTTTGGGGCGCATCACGCGCTGCAGGCTGGCCAGCGTCATCTGCGAAAAGACGCCGTCTTCGAGGACCATCGCCCCGTTGACGACTCCGCCCACCGGAGGGAGAGTTGCTGCGAGTCGGGTTTTGAAGGCCGTCACCTGGTCGAGGTCGGTCACGTCGAGCGCCTCGAAGCGGATTACCATGCCTCTGGCGCAAAGCTCAGTCTGCCACTTGGGCGCGGTCTTGGGCGGGTTTCGGCTGGCCAGCACCATGACGCGGGCTCCCTGTTCGATAAAGAGAGTGCACAGGCTCTGGCCAAAATCACGCGTCAGGCCCACGAGGACGTACGTCTTGTTAGGGCTCAGCAGTTTGGTGCCCGCCAATGGCTTGACGATCTGCGAAACGTTGCGCTCAGCTTTCCAGTCGATGATTTGGAAAGGAGGCTGGGTCGGGTCCGTCGATTGAAGGAGATCAGCGACTGACACCATGGGTTGATCGACCTGGGTCAGCTCCGGCACGGCCTTGGAGCACGAAAAAGACACCGCCTCGTTCCAAAGCGCTGCCAGTATCTTGACGGCATCGGGAGGGAACGGGTGGTCCGAGTCCACGAGCGGCAAGCGAGGGTTGTACTGGCAGTTCGCCGGCAAACATTGGGCCAAAGTCTGCGAAACCCTGCTGGAACTGGGAAGCATGTTCCAAATCAAGGCGCCTTCAGGCGGAAAGATCGCTTTCGCCTGGCGAGCAGGGCAACTGGGATGCAAATAAGTCATCCGTGGATGCTGTCGGCTGCGGTTCGCATCGGTGGTGTAGATGCGGTACCTAATTTTGTGCTCGACAGAGATCTTTTCGATGCATTCGTGAAACGCCGCATCGGGCTCAATCAGCACCACCCATCTGTCACCAGCACCCTGAGCGATACCAAGGCCGGTCAGGTACCGAGTCAAGACAGCCAGGAAGACTGGCAAGTTCAGCGGGGAAGTTTTCTCGCAGCTAACCCGGGTAGCGAAAGCCACGAACGAGGCATTGGAAGTCGAGAGCGCGACATTAATCGCATCCGTCACTGGGCTGTGCACAACACCCACGTGAGCAGAGCGAGTCTTTCCGATGGCCACGGGTTCTACCGTACTGTAGTGCACCGGCAGCAATCCTTTTGTCGGACCCCCAACGGTGATCTCATAGTGGTTAGAATCGACCTCGGAATGAGCTTTCACGATCTGGACAACATGGTCCAGGGTGTTGACATTGTTGGACACCACCCTTCGCGGGGCGTTGACACGGTCATTACCCTCTTTCCAGGGAACGACTCGCGGAACGAAGCGGCGACCCTGCTCAACGTGAACCTCCCTCTCGTTTGTCCAGAGAGGAGTGGGGATAGTGTTGTTGCTCTCCCCGTTGATCAGGTTATGTCTCGTGAGTCGAGCGAACGTTTCAACAATGGTCTTGCTTGCGAGGTCGAAGTTGAGGTCGTCAAGGTCAAGAACTTGCAACACCAAACCCGGAGTCTCCGCTGCCAAGGTACGCGTAAATCCGAACGAAGCAGCATGGTCGGGATTGTGGAATCTGGCGTTGTGAGTGACCCACAAGATGATCATCTCCGGCCTGAACAGGGCTCGAAGAGAGTCCATCCGCTTCTCCGTCATGGTTGCAAGAATCGGTTCGTCGAGATCGCCGAGGATGATCACGGCCGAGGAAGAAGCGGCGGACAGAGCATGAAGATTGTCGAGCATGTCAATCGCCTTGACCGCGCCACAACGGTCCCTAAGGGCAGAACACACCAGCGAAGAGATGCGGCTCGCTGTGTCTTGTTTTCCGCCGATAACCAGCAAGGTATCAGTTAAGCGAGAGTCGCTCAGGTCGGCGAGAGGGTGAAGCAACAAGCTCTTTTCGTGCGAGCCAGCTTGGCGAACAATCAACGAAAACCCCGGTGGGTAGTACTGGTTTGACCTCCTCATCGTGCCCTCAAATCCGCATCGGTCGAGTAGATCCGGCCAATACGGCGGCGACATAGCGGTGGCTTTCTTCGAGGGGCCACGGCCAGTTACTAGTTCCTGAATGTGGTCCTCGAGCGGATTCTTGGACACATCAACAAGGATCAAAAAGCCGCCAGGCCGCATTGTGTTCCGTATTTTTTTGAACGCGGTGGCTGTCTTTCCGCTCTGGATGAGAGAAGTCGTAAGGATGACAAGGTCGTAGGCTACCCCGGTCGCGGGTTCCTCTGTGTTCAAGTCAAACTCGTCTACGGCGATCTTCTTCCGGAGCGTGTCGCTGAGTGGGATGCGGTCTCCGAGGTTGTCCTCGGGCTTTGCCCCGATCCGGTACGACAAGAACGAGTCCGCTAGACCTTCGAGGACATGCTCGGAGAGGCCAAGCTCGCGGTCCGTCAGCCCCAGAACATTGATTCGCGGGTACTTGTGGGTGATTTGCTGCACAACACGCGACACATGTTTTTGGAACTCGGCCAGGTGATGCGCTTCTCTGATGATAGAAGGCAGCATGCCCTCTACCACGTCGGGTTTGTTGTGCCCGAGCCAACGAATGATGCTCAGCGTCCGGAAGTATGGAGACGCTCGAATGAATCTGTCCAGGGTCTGGTCCGTCTCCCCAGACCAATGGTTCAGTTTACCAGATCCTTGACCGGAAACGGGTCGGTGTACGTAGAAGGATGCGACCCTCTCGCAGCTCTCGCCAAGCATAGATGGGCCGCACATCTTATTGACATCTCCAGCGACAATCTCATGGTCCGGATCAATATCGAATTTCGTCGTCAGATACAGTCCATAGTCTGCCTCGGGCTTGGTTGAGCTGATGGAGCCAACGGTCAACCCCTGGATCTGGATCTCCATGTCGCCCTGAGGGTTGAAGATCTCAATGTCCGCTGTGAATGAAGCAGGCGTCTTTGGCGTAAACGGTGCTGCCTTGGTCAAGTACGCGTCGACAGCAAGCGAGTCTTCAGGGGTCTCGATGTCGCAAATGGCCGTGTTGAAGCGCACACAGTCGATATGAAGAGGCAAGAACGAAGTCCAAATCGTGCCGTCTCCTGGAGAGGAGATTGTGACAAAGGCTGTTTGCAGGCAACTGTCGAGCGTCGCGGGGCTGATGGGAAGGTTCGTCGAATCCTGCAAATGAAGCTTTCTCAATGTCCCTGACGAGAAGTTATAGCGACGCTCAAGCGTCTGCAGTCCTTTGAATGGTCCCGTGTATTCCAGGCCTGTTCCAGCTATCATGGCGTAGAAGGCTTCCGGGCTGGCAGGCAGCGTCTCTGCCCTCACTGTGGCCCGGGATGGCAACGCCGCTGTGGACGGAGACCCGATAGTAATCATGAGCCTTCCCGAGAAGTTCTTTTTCATGTCGGTGCGATCGTTCGCCACAGTGGAGGTAAGAGAAATCGATGCCTCGATACTCTCCTCTGTCTCGTTCTCGATAGTCAGAGAGAACAAAACCTCTACACCGTTGGTATCCGGCTCTAAGACAATGCCTCTTGGGAACTGCAGGTCCTGTAGCTCAACAAGGGTAGCCGACCGGCTTGATAAGGCCACGCGTGCCGCGTCCAAGGCCATAACGAGATAAGCCGAAGCCGGGAGCAGCGCCTGGCCCTGGAAGCTGTGATGTTTGACCCACTCGAGCTTTTCGAGTTTCAAGATGTTACGCCATCGGAGCTGGTGTTTGTTGTCATCCCGAGTACGGACGCCGAGTAGCTCGTGCGGCTTACCCGTCTTGAAGTGATACTGCCGAGAGATGCGCGATTCCCGGTAGTGAACAAGGGAGTGGTCCCAGGGGTAAAAGGGGGCATTGTCCAGCCGGCTGTCGACAAGTTCTGGCTGGACTGAACCGAGAACGAATTGGCGGATTTGCGAATGAGACGAGTCGAAATGCGTCCACATCTGACCGAGGAACTCGGCAAACGATTGTCGGTCATCCATCGTCCGGTTAAGGACGCTCAAGTACGGGATCTCGGTGCCGTTCTTTTCCTTCATAATCTGGACGACAGGCCCTTTGAGCGCGGGGTGGGGTCCAACCTCGATGGCACAGTCGAAAGGACCGAAGTTGTCCAGAGTGGTGCTAATTGCCTCGTAGAAAAGAACCGGATTGACCATGTTGTCTCTCCAGTAGGACGCCGAGAGGGCTTCTGCCGAGGGCTTGTTCTCGCCAGAAACGCTGGAAACCCACACAGTACCATTGCCCTCCATGGAGGGTAAGATGTTGCAAGCTTTCAGATCTTTCAAGTACTTCACCGCGGGCCGTTCCATGTGCGGGGAGTGGTAAGCAGCATCGACGAACAGGAGCCTGCAGAACTTCTGCTGCTTGGTCAGATAATCATGGGCATGCCTGACCAGGTCAAGATCGCCCGAGAGCGTAACGCTAGACGGGGCGTTGCTGGCTGCGAGGAAGAGGCCACGGCAGTATTCCTCCATTGCGCACAGCTCGGCGGCCTCAGCCTTCGACAGCCCCGCGGCAAGCATACCCCCCTTGGCCCCGTTAGCGCCACCGGCCATGTGTACGCTCAGGCCTCGGTAGTGCGAGATGAGAATGGCTTCGCGGAGGGAAACTCTGCCGGCGGCATAGGCCGCGGCAATCTCGCCAGACGAATGGCCGACGACAGCACGAAAGGTTATTCCAAGATCCCGGAGAAGGTCCACAAAGGCCAGCTGGATTGCAGTGCAGAGGGGTTGCGAGACCGAGGCCTTGTGCACCATTGACATGCTGTCCTCCGCCATGATCTGCTCCTCTAGAGTCCACCAGGGCGGGTCCCGGCAGGAGCGCAGGATGTCGTCGAGAGCGCGAATTGTTCGGGCATAGACTTTGCTGGTCTGTAGCAAGCGGCGACACATGGTGGCCCATTGAGCGCCCTGGCCGGTAAAGATGCCCAGGATCTTGGGGCTCTCATCCACCTGCCGAACGCGTGTCCCGATTGTATCTGCGGACTGATTCTGAGCCTTGGATATGATGGAGTCGAGTTGATCGACGAGGCCCGAGACGGACCCAGCGGCAAGAGAAAGGCGGAAGGGAAAAGCAGTCCGCCGAGCAAAAGAATGCCAGGCAAGCTCTCCAAGGTTTGGCGACGAGGAGTGAATGTAGGCCCGATACGTGCGCGCAAGCGCGCCCAGCGATGTCTGGGACGTAGCGGATAAGAGAAGGGGAAGCCACACTTGGTCTTGCTTCGGACGATCGACTTGATTGCATGCGAGTTCTCGCACCTTAAGACCCGGACGAAAGAGCCTAGCGATGGGATTATGAATGTATGGGATGTACTGCTCGACAATGGCATGCGCATTGGTGCCTCCGAAACCAAACGAGTTGACGCTGCCGCGCTTCGGACGACCCGTAGGAGGTTCGGGCCACGCAATAGGGTCAGTTGGGACGAGCAGATTGGTATAGAACTTCTCCACCGCTGGGCTAAGCTTGTCCAGATGAAGATTGGGCGGCACCGAGCCGTTGCGCATGCTCTCAACCACCTTGAGCAGACCGGCCAGGCCAGCTGCGCCCTCGGTATGGCCAATTACCGTCTTTATAGATCCGACGAGTATCTTAGTCTCCGCTGCTTTCTTCGGAGAGAGATGGTTGATAGGACCGAAGAAGGCGTCTTCAATGGCATGCGCCTCGGTGGGATCGCCGGCGCTGGTCCCGGTGCCATGGGCTTCAAAGTACTGGCAACGATCCTCCGGATTCTTCGGGTCCAGACCGGCCCGGTTGTACGTGTCCCGGATCAATTGCGACTGGGCTTGCCAGTTTGGCATGGTGATTCCGAGGGTACGGCCATCCGAGTTGACGCCCGTCTCGCGAATGATGGCTTCAATCCGATCTCCGTCGCGCAGGGCACTGCTCAGGGGTTTGACAAGGACAGCAGCGACTCCTTCGCCACGGGCATAGCCATCGACGCCGGCATCCCACATGCGACAATGGCCGGAAGGGCTTAGCATATGGAGATTGGATTCGGCGATGAATTGCTCGGGGGTAAGAATAAGATTCGAGCCAGCCACGCAGGCCATCTCGCACTCGCCCGACCGCAGACTCAAGACGGCTTGGTGAAGAGCGACAAGACTAGAGGAGCAGGCCGTGTCAAGGGTCATTGAGGGGCCAGTGAAGTTGAAAAAATACGAGATACGGTTGGAGAGGATCGAACGCGCATTGCCGGTGGCATAATACTGGCTGCTGTCCAACTCGTCACGCTGCAAGAGCGTGTCATAGTCTGCGGTCATGAGACCGGCGAACACACCAACTTTCTTTCCCGAGTACTGGCGCAACGTGTATCCCGCGGACTCCAAAGCCTCGTAGACGACCTCGAGAAGCATGCGCTGCTGGGGGTCCATGGCCTCAGCCTCCTTGGGGGCGATGTTGAAGAAGCTACAGTCAAAGACGCGGTGATCCTGGTCGAGAAAATAGGCCTTGGGCGAGTTGGTGGTGCCGTGATATTCGCCGTCCGGATGGAAGAATGCCTCAATGTTGAAGCGGTTGGCGGGAATCTTTTGGCTCAAATCCGTCGGGTTAGCGAGGAGCTGCCACAGCTTGCTCGGATTCGTGACGCCTCCAGCAAAGCGGCAACTCGCCCCAACAATGCCGATGGGCTCTGAGCCGGGCATATCCAAGTTGTCTGCCATGACAGGTATGCTGATGACTGGATATGACAGATCGACGAGAACAAGCGAGTAAACCGAGTTGAAGACAATGAAGGATGCTGATGATGAAAAGGCGCTCGCTAGATGATGCTAGGAAATTTGTCGCTCGCTAGACGATGACAGGAAGATGCAGGGAGGGGGAAATAGTGACAAGAGAACTGCTTGAGAGCGATGAATCGATGATATTGCAAGGCAGTTCACGAGTCCTGGAGATATTGAATGGAATTTAGAGAGAAGGTCTGTTGAGGGAGAGGTTGAGTTTTCGTTCCAAGCTTGTCGAGGAGGAAGGAAATGGTTTGTGGAAGCAGAAAACATGAGAAATGGTGCCTTTGTAGAAAGTGTGAGATGGTGGGGAAGATTGAGCAGGTAAACAATCGATGGGATGGAATGGGAGAGGAGTCGTTTCTGTTGAACTTCCTAACTGAGTGTGGAATACCCGGTTTGTTCCACTGCTGGGAAGGAAGAGAGGAAGGCAGTCTCCCCGAGGCAGCAGTTCCTGACCTCCGAATCTGGTTGTTCAAAAACAAACTGCAGTCGTCTAAAACTCCGTGGTAGGATACAAACAATCTCCGTCACTGTCCAACAGGTTATATTATCAGGATGCCAAAAGTCATTTCCAAGGAAATAGGAAGGTAGTATTAAGTCTCATACAGCATACCACTCGAAACCTCCAGGTATACATTCTAGTAGTACCCGAGGGACTGACCGTGACGTACTAGATACCGGTTTCGCCGGAGACATGCCTCCCCGTCGCCCATCGATCCTATGTCGCCATGATGGATACGCCAGCATACCATTCAACTAGCAACATATGTGTGCCAAGGAATGACGATCGTGGGCTAGACGCCCAGGCCGGCAAAAACTGGAGCTGGTTTTGCTACCTACATGTACCTGATCTTCATCTGTTGATATCGAGGGCTGGGGAACGTGCCAACAGCGTTGGTCGAGAAACTGGCGTTTCAGCCAATAACCCATTCAAAGCAGCATGATACTATCCGAGTCGCCCCTCCATCATGATACTTAGTTGCCCTGGTTGTCATGACAGCCGTCTTGACAGAAGAATATCTAGTACGGCTTTTCAGTTTAGAGGCATAAGCTACGAGCCTCCTAGTTAGCTTTATATCAACTGTCAGCAAGTTGATCGACGACATGTGCTAGATGGTTACCATCTATACTAGCCTAGCACACTAGTAGTTCGTTTCACCTAACGCGCAAAAGCTCCCGTCTCACCCCATCATGGGAAATTTCAACTTCTGTCGTTACTGCCTGGATCTCTCGAGACTCATGCATGGCAGTGTCAAATGCAAGCAACCGGCTAGCTATCTGTTCCAAAACGTGATAATTAAGGTACCTACCAGAAGAGTCTGACATTGCAATACTACCCGGCAGGGACAGACGACATCACTACAGACACATGACAGGCCAGGTTCCAGCAGGGGACGGCATGTTCGGCGTTAATGGCTTCCTTCCGAGCCACGATGGGTGCACGTGTCAAGGTGTCGACCCTAATGTCAAAGTCCAGTCGTTCACCACGAGTCTGGTCATAACGCTGATATCCCGTTTTAGGTGCCCGTTAACTGGAGGTTCAACTTTCCTGAAACAAACCCCTTATTACACCCAGGGCATAACCATTATCTCTTCAAAACTACTGCGAACTGAGAAGCAGCGGAACCTCGAATCCCAGATTCAAGTCCAGTCCGACATGCTGGCGACTGACACATAGGTTGAGTTGAAGTTGCAAGTCGGTGGCGAACAGTGCCGAACACCACACTTGCACAGGTTCAACTGCCTCTACTGTCAGAACACCAAAAGCGGACAAAGCGAAAGCGAGACTAAGGTACAGGTAGTTATGGGCTCTGCATGCACGCAGGGTCCCCGTCTCTCCAACCGTGACCCCGGGTTCACCGACGGCCCTTCACAAGTTCACGCCCAAGTCATCAATGATCCTTCAGGCTTGACGTCAACATAACCTCATCGTCGATATTAGGTACTTACCCTCTTCGAACCGTCAATATTCCCCGTGATTCTGTCCAGATGGTGTGCACATCTATCATTTCGTTGCTGAGGCCGGTCGAGTACAAGCTCTTATCAGCACCGACGCTTTCCGTTGTCCCGAGGCGAAATCCGCGTTCACCTACACTACCTCTTGGCCGTATCGCGACCGGCATATCCGTTGCGGATCGCTGCCGGATATGGCAAGGTTCTTGTTGGGGCCATTCAGATAACGGCGCGCAACAAGTGGCAACCCAAACCAGCAGGTGGTAGTTTCTCGAGAAAGGGGCGCTTGGAGTTTGGCTCTGATTTGCGAGGACTGTTCAGATTCATCTGTCTGTCGTCCTAAACCGCCTCCGCACCTGAACACACGTGCAAAGTACTCGTCCTAGGACAGCGGTAGTCAGCCTGATGAAGGGAGCTCACTAGGTCGAGACGGGGAAGTCAACTTCAAGGTTGCCTTGATGTGGAAGATCTGACCCTCCAAAGCAAAAAACTTTGATGGTGTTCCAAGTTAGCCATCTGGGTATAGAACATGTCAGATTGCAAACCGATAGGATGAGAGCGAAGAAACTCCTAATATATTACACTAAATACACCATTAGGGATACACCAAGAAGCAGTCCGAACGCCTAACCAGCCCAACGCCCCGGCTACCGCCCAATCGAACGCTTACAATCCCTCTCCAATTCATTCCAGGTATAGCTTAGGTATTCACTCATCAGGAACATCACCAGTCGAAAACAGCTCCAGGAATATCCTCGCCCTGTCCACACCCAAAGAGACCAGCGCGCGGCGGACATCCAGCATGAACGGCTCCGGACCGCAGACGTAGTACTCGGCCCTGGGGTCGCTAACAAACAGGGCACGGTCCTTATCCAGCCGGGCGAGGTCCAGGCGCATGCTCCCAAAGTCGTAGTCCACGCCGGCCTGATCCTCAACGCCCACGTTCCGCAGGAACACGGTCGACAAGACGTTGCTGTTCTCGCGGCAGATCTGCCGGACGGCGTCAGCAAACGGCATCCGCGCGCGCGACCGGGCCGCGTGGATCCACGACACGGGCCTCTTCACGACTGCCTGCTCTCCCGTCAAAGTGTCGAGTATAGCCTTGAGCGGCGTGGCGCCGACTCCGGCCGAGATCAGAACCGCGGGGACGCCTTCTTTGCTCGTGTCGTTGGGATCCAAGAAGAACTCGCCCTGCGGGTGCGACAGCTCGACCTCGTCGCCGACGTTGTACTTGTCGTGGAGCATGTTGGAGATGATGCCAGGGATGTGGGTCACCTCGCCGTCCTCCCTCTTCACGCTGATGCGGTAGTGGTCGCATCCCTTGGCGGTCGGGCCCTCACTCAGGCTGTACTGCCTGCTCTGCAGGTAGCCCAGCTGGGGCACGGGGATCTGCAGGCTGACGTACTGGCCGGGCAAGAACTTGGGCAGTGGGGTAGCGCTGCCGTCGGTCGGCGCCAGGTAGAAGCTGGTGATGCTGCTGCTTTCGGGCACTTTCTTGACGATGCGGAACTTGCGCCAGCCGACCCAGTTCTCGGCCGCGTTCGCCTTGTACATCTCGGCCTCGCGGCTGATGAAGACTTTGGCCAGCACGCCGTACGCGGCGATCCAGGCTTCGACAATCTCCGGGGTTGCGGCTTCGCCAAGCACCTGGCCGATGGCCTGGATCAGATACTTGCCGACAATGTCGTACTGCGCGGCCGTGACCTGCAGCGACACATGCTTGTGCGCGATGCGCTCGACAGCGTGCGCCAGCTTGGGCAGGTCGTCGATGTACGTGGCGTAGCCCAGCACGGCGGCGGCGAGCGCGCGCGGCTGGCGGCCCGTCACCTTGCTGGTGGCGCTGAAGATGTTGTTAAGATCCGGGACTTCCCGGAGCATGTTGTCGTAAAAGACAGAGGTAATGGCGACGCCATGCTCCTTGAGGACGGGCGCCGTTGCCTTGACGATGTCGATGTGAGCTTGGGTAAGAGGAGCAGCCATGATGGTGGTGTATGTTTTCTGTGTGGGATGACCGGAGCGAGGTGGTGGCCGTCGTCTGAGTGAGGTGGGTAGGCTTTATGTATAAATATATGAAAAAAGGGGTGTGTGAACACCAATGTAAGTGGGGAACCGAATTGGGATGTTGATCCGGCCCCTACCGACGGTGGCCACGCATTGGAGACCGGAGTAATGGTACTGTACCTACCTCTTTTCCTATCATTTCTCATCCTGAACGATGTCTCTTGTCTTCTCTCGGAACGCAAATCCACATGGTCTCGGTCTTCCCCGGACGCATCCTTCCCACGGTGCCGGGCCGACTAACAGGAAGTCAGGATTCAGGAACCCTGAGCGGCAACGGTGGCATGACACGTTTGTGTTCTGCCGCAGTGCCGGGTGATAAATCAGGCGCAGGTTCAACATCTCCGAGGAGTTCAACATCACTTCGCATTGCCTTGCTTGGAATTGCGTTGTCTGCAATTGGCCGTCTGGTGCAAGAAGCACTGAAGCAGTCCATATTCCCTTTTTTGCAGACAGTTTTTTCTGTCAATTGCAGGGGTTGAGAGCTCAAACATCAGCTCACAATTTGCTAACAGAATCGGCTGAGTCAGCCGATCGAGACGCTGGCATCTCCGCGGCGGGAACTCCCGTTCGCTGGGGACTGCCGCGTGCCATCTGGCCGTGCCTGGGAATTCTAGGCTCGTGTTACCGGTAAGGTGGAAGTTCAATGGGTTCGGTGGACTGACAACGTCATCTGATGCGAGCTTTTCCAGGTGCCGTTTCCAGGGCCTAGGAATTTATTAGGTTGCGGTGCGGAGCCCATGGAAAAAAGTTTGGGTTCGGGAAGCAAACCGCGACGAGCCAATGCACTGCGGGATACCAGCACCTTGGGTCAACTGCGACTCCTTCGCAGCAGAGTATCACATCAAGTAATTAAGCCAGCGATACCAGTGGCGCTACGGAAAGTACACTTCCTCTTTTAGACCTACCTTCCTAGTGTAGCATACCCCTGAGATACATCCATCAGGACTGCTTAGTTGCGGCCAGGATTTAGTGTCCCCAACTGAAGTACGGACTACCCCTGAAATCGTCAACACTGCGGTAAGCGAACAACCAAAGCGCGGGAAAGGTGACTGACGGCCATGAAAGGTTTACCGGTGCCTACTACACTCAATTTCTCTCCCAGCCCCGTTACACTACGTGACTACAAAGCATTTGCTGAGATTGAGCCTGCTTTGCGCCGAATATGGTAACTAGATCTGTAAAACAAAATTCAACAAGCAGAGGTCCTGTGGCGTAATTGGAAGCGCGTCTGACTACGAATCAGGAGGTTCCAGGTTCGAGCCCTGGCAGGATCGTGTTGTTTTTGCCCGTTTTTTATCCTTCACTCCATATCCATTTCTTTTAAATCCAAAAGCATCGAAACCACAGTTGTTGCCAAACAACACCTGCACATTCTAAACTTTTTCCCCTTCGCCTTGCTGTTCCTACTGGATACGATATTCTTGGAAGTCGGAACTTGGAAGCCAGTTCACTGCGCCCCCAGGCAAGCATCATGACCCAAATGGCCGCAATGACCAACATCACGCATATCGTACTAAAGTCGTACACACCTCATCGCATCAAAAGACTCATAGACCCCAGTGGTGGCTCCTGCAACATTGGCGAAATCGACGACACAACAGTGCTCAAATATCCCCGTGTCAAAGAAGACATGAAACGCGTCCGGATTGAGGCCAAGATGCTTGAGGTGCTAGGTTCGCATCCTCGCATCGTCCAGTTCACAGGCCTTACCGACGACGGCTTGCTTCTGGAGTTTATGCCCAACGGGAACGTGCACGATTACCTGTCCGCCCACCCGGATGTGCCTTTGCACCGGCGACTGGCCTGGTGTGTCCAGGCTGCCGAGGCTGTTGCCTACATCCACTCCCGGCGCGCTCTGCACTGCGATATACGACACGACAACTTCCTCCTCGACGCCAACCTGGATCTGAAGCTGGCCTACTTCCAGGGCCAGCACTTCTCCCCGACCGGCGCTGTTGTTCTGGACGGAGGCTCATGCGAATCTGCCAGGGCCTGGCTGCCTCGGCATCCTCCAGATCGGTGTAATGTATAAACCGACCTGTGTCGTGCGGTTGCAGTTGTCTGGTAAGATA